TGGAAATAAGGACGCCACTTCAAGAAGTGTTTCTCCAAAATCGCCAAGGTCTGTCGGTAGCAACGGGAGGCTCGATTCCAAAACAATAAACAATGACAAGAACAGAGCGCTGTTGAAGAATCATAAGTGGACTTGCCCTCAGTGTACGTACGAAAATTGGCCTAAAACTCAAAAATGTGCTCTTTGCAAGTGTTTAAAGCCCGCTAAAATAAAACATGAAGAATTCAGCAAAAATACACCATCAGACAACAACTGCCACTCCAAGAGGCCATCTACTTCAAAAAGAAGATCTCCCCCTTCTTCGGTTAGTGAGGCCACATTAGAAATCCAACCAACCAACCAGAAGACTGGGGAAAAGATAATTTATGACATTCCAGCCTCGGATGATGTCAATGACAATGAAGAAATGTTGCAAATTCGCAATCGCCTTCAAGATTCTGATTGGTTGTGGCTAACAGCTTGTATAGGTGTCGTTGAAGGTGATACCTCATCCGTAGAGACTTATTTAAGTTCAGGGGGTGATTTGTCCAGGCAGTTGACAAGAGAAGACTGTTTGGTGTTGAACCGACCAGGAGTATTTGAAGTGGGACATACGCTTGTTCACTTGGCTTTTAAATTTAAAAGAGATGAGTTGATTACTGTGTTACTGACTCCAGAAGTGAAGGGACACCATTTAAGACGGGTGCCCTGCATCGCATGCCCTGAGCTAGCAGGAGACATTAGAAAGCAAATAAGACATACCATGAGGCAACGCAAAGGAGACTGGCGCTGTTTCTTTTTCACAGACCAGGTCACTTTTGCTTTAGCAGCAGGTAAGAATAAAGTTGTCACAATAAGAGAATAATATTATTATAATTGCTTTCCTATTATGCTTGCTGAAACATTTTGCAAGTAGTAGGAACAGTATGAGTATATAAAAATGGTAATTGCTTTATTTACACGTTAAAAAAATCAACTTTGTGGGTCTATCAAATATCCATGCATCCCATGTAAGGGAGAATTGGGTGTAGGGGTTGAAACATATTGGGGAACAATAATCGGACAATTCTGGAACCAGGTAATTACCATTAAATGGCCTATCCAATATAGCAGACAAATTTGGTTTGTCTTTGAAACATCTAAGCCAAAAAAATTTATCTGCATTGGAAACTGTTTACTCTTAACAGGCTGTTGCATCTGTCATTGATTAGTGGAAAGAATTATGGATTTACAACAAATGATTGGCAAGAAAAACACTTTTTCATTTATTTACTCGATTTTGTCCAGTTTTTATCTGGGACAAGTTTTGCAGATTGTCCCGTCTGGGACAAAATATGTAAAATCGTGAGAAACCATCCACATTTGTTAAGCATTGGGGATGACAGTAGAGTCACTTAAATAAACAACTTTTACACTGGTGCAGGTGGACCCAGACTCAGGAAACCATAAACATCTAAAATATTTCACGAATGTATATTGTGCTGTGACCAGTCATAACAAAGGAAGCCTCAAAACCACAATCTAATTATCATTGTTGCTTATGGTTTAAGTTTCTCATGCCTGATTGTATTTTTCCCAGCAACACAATCACATAATCCAGAAATATTTCTGGCCCCAGTTCCTGAAAGGCCGATTAATGCTAATCCAGGATTTAAAATTTTGTTACATTTTTGTATTTACCTTCCTACGCATCACTTAGAGTAATATTCTATGTTATCATCATTGAATCTTGGAGTAAAGGCAAGAATGTACTTTGTAGGCTCTAGTGGACATATTCTTAGACAAGAAAACCTTGCTTAAAATTTGGCTTAATCCTGGGTTAAACTTAACCATCTTTCGAGGAACCAGGCCCTGGTGTTTATGGTTTCTGAGTTTCACAGTAATTTAACAGTAAATAGACTAGTGCATTCTTGAATCTTTTCTAGGGCACATTTGTTTGACCATACACTGGAATAAGAAAACATGCAATCAACTCTAGAAATCACCTGTTTTGGTTCTTTTTCGCAGTAAAATCCAGTAAAAATCTGGTGGACATTGGTATTTAACCCTTTGACTCCTGAGTGCACTTTAATGCGCACTTCCAAATAAGGTGTACATTTTGCCCCAAAAAAGGCTCCGAAAGGCTCCATATTTTGTCAGATGACTTTCTATGTTGCTTATATGAATTTGTTTATTGTATGATTCCATTTCAATCGGTCGTTCGCCATTTTGGACTAACTTTTTGGCAATATTTCCTCGCTGTGCTAATGATAACCTTTAAAAATGGCATCAGACACAAATGGAGTTGATCGAACTATATTCGCAGCATCGGATTTTAGCCGTGATTCAGGTTAGGTGAAGATTAGTCCAATTAAATGGACGAAGACACTGGCAACAATTCAGAGCTTGAGCATGCAGATACATGGTGTGGTGGTCAAGAGAATATCAAAGAAAGAGAGCAAGCGGGCGCTTCGGTGGTCACAAGATGTACAGTGTCAACTGTAAGAGACTGCTAAAGGCAAACAGCTCTCCAAACAAACGTTAAGTTAATACACATATATATTTTGAAACCCTGATATGTCTACTTTCTAAATATGCCGGATTATAGGCACCTTTACCTCAAAGGGAACATTTGAGATGTTATTTAGTGTATGTATGTCATAACTGAAGCAATATGACAGAAAAACTCAGGAGTCAAAGGGTTAAGATGAATGTAGCATGGATGGTCCCAAAAATTGGGCACAAATTTTAGCGTATTCTTACTCAAGAATATGATCAAACAAATGCTCTCTAAAGTGTGCACTTGATGCATTGTGTTTACTGACTCCACCCTCTGTATGCTCCCTTTATTTATTGTTATACAGCTTGTGTTCTCTCTTTACAGTCTATGTAGATTTGATTATCTATTAATTTATTAAAATGTACTTAAATGTTTTTTGACAAAACTAAGAAATCCAAGACTTCCCATCAAGAGTACAAAGACAAGTGTTTGACGACATTCTTGACAGAGATGTCCAGAGAGGTAAGAATGGTTGAGATATATTGATGAGAGAAATTATTTTTTGACTGAATCCAAGAATAAGCAAGATAAAGTGCATTATTTCCGTGTTTTGATTTTCTACTTAAGCGGGAAAGATAGGCCCATTTTGCGTGCTTGGGATTTCCCACATTGCTCCTGCAAGAAAAAAAAATTCTCCTTTTGGCCATGTATTAAATCCTTTATTGACCAAGCTTGTTCAGAACAGATTTAAGGTCCACAAGTGGATTATATTGCATGGGTAGTGAAAAATCTGGAAAGTCATGAAATTTAAGAATTTCACTTTTATGGAATTTAATTGTTTGTCTTTGAGAGCCATGGAAAATTAAAGTCATGTTTGGTAAATTAGTTATTGCAGATGTCAAAGCAAGACCAGTGTAAGATAGAAACCAGTAAATATAAAAGCATGAACTGCATGCATTTTAGTGGACACCAGAATTTGCATCTGTTGCACTAAGTGTCAAAAAATACACTAAAATAAGGAATGTTTTGAAAAGTGAAGGCTTGACATAGGATCATGGAAAACTTGAGAAGTTCGTGGAGAAAGTCATAGCATTTAAGAGCTCAAAAGAGTACAGACCTTGTAGAATTAGATGTAAGTCACTAACTGTATGCCTTTTTTTCTCAGTTTTAGAAATTGAGTCTCCAGTTATAAACTGGAGTGAAGAAATTACAGAACAGTTAGGAAGTAGGATTTATCCCCTTTGGAATCGATCAGCTGGTGATTGTCTTTTAGACTCAATTCTTCAGGCCTCATATGGTGTGTTTGACAGGGATAACACATTGAGACGGGCTCTATATGACAGCTTAACTGAAGGAGGTTCAAGGTAAAACTGTGTGCCGTCAATCAACTAGCTATTAAAATGGACTTTAAGTTCTTCTCATAATATTTTTTATGGAACTTATTAAGGTGGACCTTTGTTATTCATAGAATGATTCCAGTGCAATTAATTAATTCAACTTTCAAACTTTCCTATTATAGGAGGATCTGGTGAATGATATTAAAAGATTAAAATGCTTATACATTCACTTTGATTTTAAACTTTGAACACAGCAGAGCTTTTATTTAGTAAACATGTTCTTTAGGGCTTGAAGTCACTGCTTAAATGCAGTGACCCAGAAGAATGTGATATTTTAGGTTATGATGCAAGCATAATATGTCAGTGAATTACAGATATTGATGCGCCAGTGATGGCACACTCTGTTGCTCTGACAGTATTATGCAAAGTGACATTTAACTGTCACAGCAATGTTACAAATTGAATGTATTTTAGTGTAAGTTAATTTTATCTTTAGAATTTGTTTCCAACTGTTAGCATTCCATAAAAATATGACGAAAAAACAATGAAAATCAATTCCATCTGAGAATAAGTTGACAATTCTGTAGTGTTTGTTTGTTTTACATACATACATACATACTTTATTGTTAAAGGGGCTTTTCAGGAACAATGATGACATTACATTGTTTATAATAACTAATTACAACACTTAATCTCATACCAATTACAATGTTAGCTAATTACTAATTACAATGTTTTAAACTTAACTAAGAAGTATTTACAAAATTATCTAAAAGCTGGCTCCTTAAGGAACGTTTAAAAATTTTAACAGATGGGCTTAACTTAAGAAAAGGTTCCAAATTGTTCCAAAGTTTAACAGTTCTGTAATAATAAAACTGTACAATATGGACTGCTGTGACCAGGCACATACAGTGATTTGGTTTCACTGCATCTCATGTTGTTAAAGTAACATCTCATTCTTGTGATCTTCTCAGGTTTTTCAACCGGTACAAAGAATGGGAATCCATGGAAGCAGAAACACTTCAATATTCTCTTGATGAAGATCAGTGGGAACAAGATTGGGCTTCCATTCTCAGCCTGGCCGGTCAGCCAGGGACGTCGCTAGAACAGACACATGTGTTTGCCCTGGCACACATTCTTCGCAGGCCTATCATCATATATGGTGTCAAGTATGTCAAGAGTTTCAGGGGAGAAGTCCTTGGTCTTGCAAGATTCCAAGGTAAAGGATGTGTAAGACATGTATTAGCTGTCAGTGTTATCCTTTATTCAAAGTTTTTTTTTCCCTTTGTTTTGGGGTATGGTAATGTATAATTAGTAAGAGTTTTTGAGGAAAACAAAGTTTGAACCAACAGTAAGAACCACAACATATACATATATGGCAAGAATTTAAATTGATTTAATTCTTGTGCCAATGCTGTTGTTGCAAATTAGACCACACTACAATTTATCACGGGCAAAAGTCTTAAGACACTTTTGCATTTCTGGGGCGTTTCCCAATAATTCACACACGTCCAACCCCTCCCCTCATCCCACAAACAATGTTGGATGCGTGTATCCAGAATTTTTTCCAAGTTTCAATTTTGTATAGGGTGAGGGGAGGGAGAACTGCAAGAAAATTTTGAAAAGGATCTACTGTTTTATAAGGGAATCCAGAAATTACGTAAAATTATTAATACTGCATTACTGTCCCAGAGACTCAATGATTGTAGCCGTATTAAAATGCATAATTTGTATAGCCGTCTAGTAAGTATTTGTGAGCCACAATGTAAACTAGTGGTTTTACCAGTAATTTGTGTTAACTCGTGAATGTTTAATTTTATTTTTTAGTCATTTATTCATTGAAGTCTGTCTTTATAATTATGCTTTAATGGTATTTAAAGAAATTTCCCAATCATTACAATACACTGCAAAGTTACTTTTTTTTATTCACTTTGACTTGCCTGCCATGTACATGATATGAGTTTAACTTTCCAGTATCCTTGTTAAAAGCTGGCTATGTAAGAGGGTTGCACCTGTGAAAGTCATCAGTTCTTTTCTTCCACTTACCCAAACCACTTTTTGTTTCAGGAGTATATCTTCCTGTTTTGTGGGAGCAGAGTTTCTGCTGGAAGAATCCATTAGTTTTGGGCTACACAAGAGGACATTTTTCTGCTTTAGTTGCTATGGAAACTGACAATTCTAATGAGCTAGGTGCAGGAGCCAATGTAGACAGTGTGGACAATTTTCATGTGACATACTTGCCACTGGTTGACTATGAAGGCAAACTGCTGCCTATTCATTTTCTGTCAGCAGAAGAGGTGAGGAAGTTTTTCACAAGGCTCTATTGCACAAAATCCAACAAATCCAACAACCTATAAATCCAACCACCCATCCTATAACCCTTTTTTTGTAACTGCTTTTAGCAGAATATATTTCACTTGGTAAATCATTCTCCACCAGTTTAAATATATGGAATTTTATACATTCACTATTACAAATAAGAGCTTTAAGAACAACAACATGAATAATAACAACAAAGCACAATACAGCACACTTTTGCACTGGCGGTTAAGTGAGAGGTTGTGCAACTTGGAAATGGCCTGTCCATGCAAAACATTAGGGAGTTTAAAATGTCACAAATGCAACAACAACAGGAATTTCAAAAAAGCAATGTGTCAAATTAGCAAAACAATGACAATGTAAGTGCATCACACATTTTGGTACATTTCTTTACCGCCACTGCATGACTGCAGAATGTAATTGCCCAAATTCAAATCATGAAGAACTGTTTGTATCAATTAAAGAAATGCAACACTAGTGACCTTGACTTGCTTGTAGGAAAACACATGGGTTAAAAAAGGCAAAAAATTTCTGGCTGAGGGCAGGTAGGAAAAAAGAGAACCAAAACTTGAAAACATTGAGTGGACACTTTCAGGGCAACAGCATGATCTCTGGAAAAAGATAAAAAACACTCATCTGTTGTTCAAAAGCATTTTTGCGCATAAGCAAGTTTACCTTCATATTTCTAGAGAATGTCTACACTATTCTGTCTAACCTGAAACTCATAAGGGGTTGATTTTAACCCCTTAAGAGTTTCTGATTCAACCTAAAACCATGGGTCTTTAGTTACTGGTTGTTTAAATACAACACGTTTCAATACAAGTTGATTCAGTCGAGTTGTAAATAGTTTCACAAACTTGGCTTAAAGAACAAAGAATAATCACCCAAAATGTATTCCTTGTTCACACACACCATCTTAAAGTGATCAGAATTTTTGTTGTACAGTTTTGAAGCTTGAGTTGTATCAAAATGACTTTGTACTGAAACAACCGGTTTCTGTGTCCTTACATCTTCTCTTGGCAGTCAGAACCAGCTGAAGGAATTTTAAGGGTTATGGGTTCAAACCCTTTTCAAGTGTGGACGTTTGTAGGCTTTCTTTTCGCAACTGTTTAATTTGCATTCATACTGCTGCAGTGATATTTTCACACTGTAGAAAAATTATTCCTATTATGATTTTTAAACTTGACTTGTTTTGCTGTTTACTTTTCAGAGAGGCAATGAAGAGCGCCTACTGCATGAGTGGCTAGACTGTTGTGTAACAGAGGGTGGGGTCCTTGTAGCGCAGCAGAAAGTGACTTCCAGACCAGCATTACTCAATCAACTGATTGATGATTGGTTGGATCGCTACAGGAAGCTAAGCAAAGCAAAGTGAAGTCCAATTGGTTAGGCAGAATGCATTTGCTGTTCCTAGAGTTTAAAGAATTTAAAATATAACATACTAGCATATGCAACTTATTTATTATGTACTGGGCTGCAAATACCCATCTGGTAACTTTTGTTGTAGAAGGGACTTACATGTATGTCCAATGAGGTAACCACTTGAGTCAGACGAACAAGCAAAGGTTTTTTGGCGTGCTTTATGTTGACTTTTTATCTTGTAAGTATAGTACTACATATACGTAAATCTTTTGCCTCAAAATAATGGTCTTTTGTATTTGATCTGAACAGTCATTATGTCCAACTCTATGTAGGATTTTGTCAAATAGTGGGCCAGTTTTAGTAGGACAGTGTCTGATGAGCGATTATCATTTGCGGCTCTGGATGTATTTACTCCTGTAAACAGACAAATGCAGACAGGGGAGAAGATTCCAACCTTCTCTCTGGTCCTGGTTGTTCAAACATGGATAGCGCTATCCACCAACTAAATCTCTATCAAGTAATCAAGTATTAAGGAATCCAATTACACTATTCATTGGATAGAAAACAATAGGCTAGATGTATAAATTTAAAGTTAACAAAACTAACAGATGTGCGTGCACACATCTATAGAGAAAGCATCAGATTGATGTGTCGACCTGTTGATTAAGGTCCCATAACTGGATAGAGATTAATCCAGTGGATAGCATTTTCCACCATTGGAACAACTGGCCCTGCACAGTTACATCATACAAAATGACCTTTTGGCTCTTCAAATCAGCTTGTAAAATGTTCTGCTCACTGTTCATGAGAAGTTGTTTTACTGTCAAGACCCTTTTTTACTTGCTGAACATTTCCTATATTCTCATTAACCTTTATGCCTGAGAGAAATGAGAAGCTGGTCACTCTTTGCAGCGCTGTCATTAAAATTTCATGTTGCCGGGCTAATGATACAAGTAGGCGGGGAATTCAACAGCTAGGGGTTTTGTTTGGTTCTATTTTTCTTCTATTTTCCTACAAAAGTAGGCAGGGGTCACATTCACCATAGCCAGGGAAAATCCGTAGCCACCGGACCTTAATGACAGCCCTGCTCTGTGGGGTTAAAGGGTGAAATTTACTCTGTAGAATTGCAGCTGCTCCATAAGACAGTGGTGACATTCTGGGTTTTGTTCACTCAGATACTCATATATTTAGGACCACACTAAAAACTGCAGAGCTTATTCCGTAACCAAATGACCCATTATGGTGAGCTCTAAATAGTTGACTTACTGAGGGTCTAGAACAATATTGTTGCCAAATCATTGTCTAGTCTGTTGGTTTTCTTTTTTGGCTGATCTTTTATTTTGTCTTTAGTGTGCATCATTAAACTGAAAACAGTCTTGATCATCATCATAATTTTGAGGCATGAAAATAGAAGCTGTGTAGTATGGATGGAGTTTTTTCCAATTCGTTGTGAATTTCTTTATTTCTGCAGGATATTATATTTTACATAGAGGTATTGCTATTTTCTTGTATGAAAAGGAGTCAACACTTTTGTTACTAACGACAGTTACCAGGGCTCAAAATTAACACTAGCAAACTCACAAAATAGGAGTGGACTTGGATGTTGCAAATCATAAGAATATCCTCTAACAAACGTTTGCAAGTAAGCATTTCTTCTGTAGAAATTTGAGAAGGAAAGGTAATGTTTGTTAAAGAACTTTGTGGTAAAAAGCTATGCGTACACTGAATTTTATGACTGTTATGAGAGAAAGAAAGTGGTTTCCTGTCGTCCACTGTTCACTGCTATATGTGGAAGTTATGATCCCAGCTGCACATTTGCACTTTACTGAGTAAGCACAGGCACTGTTTTCAGGTTTTGTGAGCCATTATGTTAGCATTTTGTTTGACGATGTATTAAAAACCGCCTTATACGAAAAAAAACCCTTGACCTAAAACACAACAAAAATAGTCAGTGAATTTAATTCTTTTAATAGCGCATGAAATCTTTCTTTCAAAACTTAAGTTTGAGCCCTTGTTACCATTCCAGCTTATAAACACTCTGTAATAATTGTAAAGCTGAAATTACTCTCAAAGGGACTTCTCCTCATCCATTCTGAAGAGAGTTCAAAATTGCTGCTGCTGTTGCTGTTTTCTTTTTTTTTTTGTAAATCAAAGAAACCTAAAACGTTGATCTGGTTCATTGGTTTGAAGGAATTTTTAAAAACTATCTTATCTTATAGAACTGATACTGTTAACTATAAAGTCCATTAGTTTAAAATGCCAGAGTGAAAGTGGATTTCAGGTTGCGTTAAAGTTTTCCAGGCTCCCCACCAAAATTTACAAACCGTTTTTTTTTTTTCTGTTAATTAATTTAAGATATCACTTACTTCTCAAAAATTCAAAATAATTTTTGAATGGGCGAACCGCATTTTATTTTAGCTCTGATATGGCAAACATGGCCAAATGCACTATCCTGCGATCAAGCTCTCCTGGGCAATCTGGCCCCACTCTTCCCTCCCGGCCACACCAGCGAGTTGCGTGAGAGCTTGTTCGCAGGCCAAAATGCTTGAGACGAACTGAGTGAACATGTGTTGGTTGTGTGATTTAAAGAGCCTGGTCGTTGCATGCATTCAGAATTAGCTCCCTATACTGGAGTGCTGATTGTTACAGTAAACCTTGAAGCTGAGTAATTACTGAGCTTAGAGGCAAACCAACTAATATTTTGAAATGTCAGCCGTTAATGAGGGGGGCTGACGCTTCAGACTAACCAACACTGGAAAGTTCATCATTATAGTAATTTTATTCCGAGTGTGGTCTGTATCTGTAATCCGTATCTTATTTTTGGCACATTGCTTTAACGTATCATTTTGTTCAATTTGTACAGTTTAATGCGCCAGTTAGGAAATTTAAAAAAATCGTTACATACAATGTAAAAAACCATTATTGCCAGTTAGGTTATGCTTATACAAATGTATTATCATTTTTCTATGGTAGTAAAGCAGTTATGGGATTTCCATAGAAAATACAAGTAGAGTGTCCAGTTGTTGTGTTTTTGGGGCATATCCTGGCCATTCTTGAAACAGACTAACTTTTTGCACAAACTGTCATTATCTGTATACGTAAGGGCTAGGCAATGGCCGAATTGATGCTAGAGAACGATTATCCGCCTTTGTTTCAGACGTTTTCTATCCAAAGGCTAGCTAGTAAAATTTAGCCTTCGTTTCAGACTACTCTAACCAAAGGTTTGGTTTCGTCGGTGGCGCACGCTAACTAGCAAAATTTAGCCTTCGTCGCAAACTACTCTAGCCAGAGGTTTAATTTCGTCGGTGGCACTAGCTTGCGAACAGCAGACGTATTTTTTCGGAGGGAGAGAAGCGACGACCGGAAATATGTCTGCTGTTCGCAGGCTATCTAGCAAAATTTAGCCGTCGTAGCAAACTAATCTAGCCAGCGGTCTAGTATCGTCGATGGCGCAGGCTAGCAAAATTTAGCCTATTCGGTGTGGCAAGCGTTCGAGAGGGAAGGAGAAGGGAATTTGGGCGCGAGATACAGGGTACCCCAACGCGCGCCTTTCGCGCTTCTCTCGCGCCGGAATCCCCTTCCCTTTCAAACGCCTGCTACGCTGGCTTAATTTAGTCTTCGTCGAAGACAGTCTCTCTGATCAGCGCGATTTGCGGTCAGATGATTAGAGCTCAAATCGCGCAGAAACTTCGTAGAAAGAAAGACAACGACATCATGGCCGGGTTGTTCAAAGCTGGGTTAAGATAACCCAGGGTTAGTTCGAAATCTGAATTCAGATTTGAAAGCTTAAAAAGCAAATTCAGTTTCATTCTTTTTGTCCACAATATGATGATTAGATGATCTTAAAAGGATGAAGAAAATTATCCCAGAAAATGGATTCGAATAAAAGAAAAAGAAACTTCGGTTAAAAATTTAACCTCAGATTCGCGCTTATCGGCCTTCGAACAACTTCAGGTAACAATATTTAGTAAAATTCAGCTATTCTAGTGGTCTATTTGTCAATGCTGCGTTCTGATTGGTTGAGCCACTACTAGGCTATATGTTATAGCCCACTAGTAGCGCAAAGCTTTGGCTTTTTGGCGGTAAAAAACGATTTAAGTCTAGCTTTAACTAGCGTAAGTTGTTTTGTCTCGACATTTTTGACCAACTAGTTGGATTTTACTAAAACAATTATTCCTCTCGCCCTCATGCCCTCTGAGTCAATAACTACTCATGGGCTATTGACTCAGAGCCCATTCGGGCTCGAGGAATAATTGTTAATTATACTTTATCGATAACCTTTACCCGTTTTGGTTCATCTATTTGAAGTAAGTTTTGTTTGCCATACAAACTCTTTTTTTCCCATACAAACTCTCATTTTACGCTTGGGCTACTTGCGATAGGACGTGCTGTCGAAGAATACTGGATGAATATACCTCTTAGACGGGTTATCGTCTCAGTCGGATAATTCGTCTCTATGGCATAAATTCGTCCAATGAACGCGAGTGTTCCATGGGATGTAGTGTCACGAGCATAAATATAAAGCTCGTAGGTAGTAGCAATCGTGGTCTTAAATCTACGCTCAGTCGTTTTCACGATCTGATTTCGAATACAGGATATTTTCATTTTGTTCACACACACAGTGTTAAAGACCCTGATGAGCAATGCTCAAGACATCTCTCTTGTGTTTCTTTGTGTTTGTTTTCATCTTCGCAACAAATAATCGTAGATGTCATTCTACAAGGACAGCTGCGCGGATACATGCCAAGCATGGCTCTCCTGGTAAAGGCGCTGTAAGGAGGTAATGGAGAGTTTCTCTTCCTTTTAAACTTCTGTGACTAAGGCCCTGTTCATACGTCGCGTTATCGTCGAATTTAATTCAGACGAATTTAATTCAAAGCCTCCCATGCAATAAAATTCGACGATTCTGTGACGTATAAAATGAATTAAATTCGTCTGAAGAATTAAATTCGTCCAACAACGCTTTAGTAAACCTCGGGCCACTGATCAAAAACACCGAAATCTCCACATGAGCCGGTAGGATTAAAATTGTCGTCTAAATCGGACAGCACTTTACGAAGGTTAATCGACGAATTTTCTGTGAATTAAATTTTTTAATTCAGTTTTTAATTTTTTTTAAATAAACACTAATGAGTAGCTCAAAGCAAAGCGAGGATCTTGTTAACTTGATTTATTTCTCGGACCGGTTTCGTCTCATCAAACAGACTTCATCAGGGGAGTATAACAAAATAGAGCTAAGGAACTAACTTTACACCTAATGATTAAGACAAAGTCACGTTTTTGTAAGGGTGTGAACAGCATAAAACACCCACAAAATATGCGTGCACCCCCTAAATTGACCTAAACAGGTATGTGCCGCGAAACAGGGTATTCTTTGCGGGATATTGAGTCTTAAAAAGGGAATACAATTTCGTTATTCAGTGTCTTGAACAGGGTAACTTTCTGGACCGGATGCATTGAACAGGGTAGCCTTTCTTTTCCTAGCAGGTACCAGAAAATCGCTCTATGGTCTTGACTCAAATTCGTTTTAACATGTAAAGGTCATCTAAAAATCAGTATAGTGACAAATATAAGGAGCCCATAACCTGGAGTTAGCAACTTCCATGTACCTTTGCCACGGTACGGTGTTTTCAACGACTAGTTTTCCTTTTAGAACGATTTTGCCGTCAAATTTAGAGTACCATCAAAGTGTTACTGTGAAACACAAAACCGTGAACACCAGAAATATTTATGGAATGTTATTGTGTTGTGAGGAATTAGCCAATGAGGCGCGAGAAAACTAAACCGCAAAAGGAGCGGTAATTAGTTTGTGGTTTTGAGGTTTGCTTGCGTATCCTGAAGTTTATTGTGATTGGCCAGTGCACAATCAACATTCCTGAAATTTTTCAGGTGCTCACGGTTTTCTGAGTTTGACAGTAATGTTATTTAGTTTCCCCTATTCACATTTTATACTTCGAGTGCGCTCATAGACGAGCGGAGCTTTAGTGTTCGCAGGAAAAAGTTCTCTAAAATGTAGCTAATAATAAACCGGTCTGCGTCATATGCTTTGTATGGGAGTTGCTTGCTCTGGCTTATGGTCTTTTTTGGCTCGACACCTGTGACAGTTCTAGACGTTCTTAACATCCGTTGTGTTGGATCATCGGGTAGCTCAAAAGGTCGACTTATCAGCCTGCATAGCATGCGTCGAAAGGGGTAGGGGATTGGGGGGAAGGGAAAAAGGAAGGGAGATTGTATTCTCCCTCTTCCCCTCTCCCTTTTTGCATCTGCCACGCAAGCTATCGACTTGTAGGCAAGACTAGTCAATGACAGCTGTAATGGTGGTCTTTTTGCATGCTGCTAAGGGCATTCCTTGTTCATTGCCAATTTAGCAGCATGTGTTGCAGAGAAGTTTTCGACACTGACCAGATAGCAGCCGCTCTGCAAACCTCATAGTGCCAGGACTGAACTGTTCCGGACAAATCATTTCTTTGTGTTCGAGGCGTTTCAGTTGACAAGGTTTCCGATCAGCCTAGTCCTTACGCGTTCTCGGCTCGGTCAAACCTGGACCTCTACCGTGACCTGTGACGTCACTGAGAGAGAATCGTCCACCCTTTCCCAGACTTCGCGAGGATAACGGGGCAACAGAGAACGCATAAGGACTAGGCTGGTTTCCAGGTAGTTGAAGCCAAATTTAACTGACCATAAAATAATGTATAGATTTAGCCAGGGCTAAAAGCGAAGCTCTCGATAATATTTATAGTTTGTTCAAACAAAATATAAAATCATGTTATGCTCGCCCTGGGGACGAGGTTGCTTTGCCGTTGCTTTGAACGACCACAACGTGAAACTTCCAAAAACTTCCTAGTTACACGTTTTACGGAGGAAATGTCGTACTTGTTGTTGTTCACTTTTTCTCACTCGCTCATTTTCACCTTGATGGCCGCTGGGATTTCTCATTTTCTCACCGCCGCTAAAAAAATTTCATGTTGTTCTTCCAACAAATAGCTCTTTATCTTCCGCTCTAGCTCTCTGACGCTCTTTTTCTCTTTGAGCTTCACTGGCCTGTCGCCCACTTTATTATTTCTCTATATTCCAAATTTGTGGACATCACAATTAATCTAAGTTAATACTTTAGACAACAAGGATACAGAAACAATTTCCGCTTTCCGTTTACGTCTTTATTGACTCTTAAGTTGTCTCTGCTACTCAAGACGCAGGTGGCTATGCGATTTCCCGCCAAAATAACCTCGAGTTGCATTTGGGTTGCCATGCCTGTTGGTTGAGTTATTTCATATTGGTATGCCTGTGGTGCGGAAGGACGGCCGGTCGGGCGTACGGTCAAGTGATGACCAAAATTTCTAAGGTAGATTACCAAATTTTCTTACCCATGGTGCTCCGCCTCGCGCGCGTGGAGCTCCACTACAACAAGAAATTCCGCGGCAATCGTTCGGACTCTCAACCTTCTTGTATCATTGTAGTTTTCTGCAATCGCGTGGGGCATGGAGAACAAAATAAATTTTACAAATCTGGTGATCTGTTCTGTCTGTTATTCACGTTACTGGCTGCTATATTGTCAAGCTGTCGATTTACAAATGAACCAAACCGTGGAATATCAAGGGGCGTTTCCAGAATCTTGGCGTTTGCCGGCAAGTGTTTCCTCTTTTCTCGTACCCCTCCCCCTTCGATGCTTCATTTCTTTTGCTCATCATATCTATATTGTTATTTTAGTCCTTCAACAAATCAGTGTGAACAGACTACTACGGTTCCCTTCAATGGTCAGCGGTCTCCTGGAGTTCAAAGTCTCTTCACAAAGGTTCGAGGCGGACGTCTCATATCTATGGTTGTTATTGGGGCTTCCAACACAGCTGGAAGAAATTGGAAGAAAAATAAAGAGTTGTATTCGATTCGATTCACTGACTGGTGGAATAAACACGTATATAAGTCAACTGGTTCTAGATTAACGCTGAACATCATGGGTATCGGTGGAAGTTCAAGTGATCTTTTCCTCTTTTGTTTGCAAAACTATTTACCGAAACAACAACCAGACATTGTTTTGATTGAGTTTGCTATAAATGACTTTGGTAAATACGGCAAGGCAGCTCAACCAATGGAGCTCCTTACTCGTAGACTTCTTTTAATGGCATCCAGGCCTTTGGTTATGTATGTTAACTTGGTAAATCCACGTATTATAAAAGGAAAGGTTACGAATACTAATTGTCAAAATATGGAAGATCTTGGTCTCGATGACTTAGCAAAGTACTATGGAATGCCATCTGTCAGTATGAAAGATTTTGTCTGTCCGCTGACCAGCTCAGGTAGACGAAAATTCAAAGCTAAAATGGACCTCTTTGCACCCGACGGGATGCACGCAGGGCGCAAGTCACACAAGAAAATAGCATCTATGATCATTGAATATTTTAGAACTATTTTGGCATCAAAAGACTGCGATAGATCTTTAAAAGGAAAAAGCAATAAAAAAGCCTCGCTTTCTTTGTTAAAGCCGTTATACAGCGACCCGTCAATAAGTGATATTCAACTAGCCAAAGCCATGTGTTGGACTCACTTAACTCCAAACTGGAAAATTCCTTTAAAACAATCCCTGAAGGCACGTGTGATCGAATCACGTGGGTTTGCCTATGTTTCGCCCTTAATGTCATTAAAAAATGGAACTGTTGATCTCTCTGAAAGGCACATGGACGGTTACGGTGGCTGGACTTGCCAGCCTGGAAAAGGAACAAAACACCTCACAGTTCGATTCAACGTTCCGAATACGAATCCACTAGTGCTTCCATCCATTTCCGTTGTATTACGTTTGAATTATACAGCCACAATGGTCAAAATGTCGCTAAATGATGAGCAAAGATCATGTATTCTTGTGAAAACCGAAACTCAGCGGAGAAAGTGGGTAAACACTCGTATATATCCTTTAACAAGTCAGATAACTCCAGGAAAGTATGCTATTCGCATTGAATGTACAGCAAGGTGGATGTTAGTATGTGGAATTGTGATTGGATATCATGGTTACCATGGTTACGAAGGATATAAACCAATTGATGAAACTGTAATTAACTGTAGTAAGGAGGGTGGGGTTTAGCCAATAAAAGCAAAGCCTGCATAGCAAGCATTTCCACGCGTTTTCGTAGCAAAGTACGAAGAACAAGAGTGGCTACGCACGGCTAATAAAAGCGAAAAGTTTTTTGAAATCTACGTTCCCTCTTTGCTTGATCTTCCTTTAATAGTAGACTTCTTCACAGACGAAGTTCCCTATATTTTCCCTATTTTCTAGTAAGATATCGTCAAGATTCAGCGCTAACCATTACAGGCGGCCATATTGGTTTTAAATGTAAAGAGTCTCACCGAAAAAATGGACCGGGAACGGTTTCAGAGAAGGCGCTATCCACCCCCAATCCCCCGTCCCTTACGGTTCATTTGAAACCAAGATGGCTGTCCGTTAAGGTGAGCGCACTATCTCAACGAACTTAATTACGGAAAGACAGGTAACTTTCTCCCCTGGAAATTGCAGGCCCACTGCAGGGTATCTATCTCTTTGCCCTTACCGGCTTGACGAACCTCTAAGCCGTCTGCGTGGGAGGCTACCTTCAGTTCCCCCAAATCCCCAGCTTGCTACATTTGTCTCGCTTTGCCGGGACTAGTTTCCTTACAAAATGTCAAATTTCTCAATGGTAGGGTCGATTCTTACCGGGGGGTTCACTCGCGCTGATGGCGGCGACATCAGCAACGGGAGGCGCCACATCGCCTGGATTGTCAGCGAACCTGGATTTTATTCCCAACAAGAAACAGTTCAAATGGAATGGCAGTCTGGCAAGCCTAAAAAAATTTTGGATTTCTGAACTAGAAGATGGAAATGCGAATAGTTAAGTGAATATCAACTCCAATGCTAACTCTGAGGTGTTGAAGTTTGAATCTGCAACGGTTAATTTTTATACCAGCACCAAAACCTTGCAAATACAAGGTGCATCGAAGGATTATTATGTCGAAAAGCTACTGCATATCGATGAAAAACTAAATACAACTATTGAAGAAGATAGAAACGCTGAAAATGTTTTATCGACGCCCAACGCTTTAAATTCGGAAACAGAAACATCTATATTGGCGGATCAAATTCAGCACATGACGATCGTTATGAAGAATTCAAATCGTTTATGAAAATGCAACTTGAGTTTAATAAGAAACTTGCGAGCCTCATCACAACAAACTCCATTGGGATCAACGAGCAGGTCATTGAGCTTAAAGATCTGGAACAAAAATGCAAAAATCAAACGAGAGAGGTTAATCTGGCATGTGACAGCAGCATACATGCGATGAAGATTGCTTTATGCCACTGGCTCAAAGAAGTATTTTGGAATGCAAATTCCCAAGCCAGTGGAAGCAGGCACAGGTGAAATGTCTTCACAAGAAAGGGAGCACTCTCGACTGCGGAAATTACAGGCCGATCTTCCTTCTCAGCATTCCGGGCAAGCTATTAGAGAATGTTGTAAGCCAACAACTTGACAACTTCTTATATGGCAACAATCAAATCTCTTTGAATCAATGGGGCTTCAGAAAAGGAGGCTCACCTGAACTTCTTTTACTCTCACTAACAGAACGATGGCGTTTGGCCCTGGATGAAAGCAAGGTTATTGCCGTAGTCTTCATTGACTTTCAGAAAGCGTTTGATTGCGTCAACCATACAGTTCTCATGGATAAATTACACTCTATAGGCATTAGTGGCTCCTTTTACGATTGGCTCCTAAACTACCTCGAAAATCGTAAACAATTTGTAACTGTAAATGGTTCTAACTCAGAATTGTTGGAAATAGATACTGGTGTGCCTCAGGGGTCTCTACTCGGTCCCAGATTTTACAGTATTTACTCGAATGATTTACCTGAAGCCACAACGAATGCTTCTGTTGAAATGTTTGCGGATGATACCACAGTTTTTTGTATTGGAAATACTGTTGATGAGTCTTATCTAAAATTCAGGAGGCGATCGCCGACTTAAACAAATGGACTAAGGATAACTTCATGACTATTCATCCTGCAAAAACCGAATTGATGTTGTTATCTAAATCACAATTCATCGGGCCCTTACAGAAAATATGTTTAGGGCAAAAGGAGTTGTCCTTTGTTTCTAAATCCAAATGTTTAGGGATTCAAATCGACAATAAACTCTCCTGGTCGCCACATATCAAATCCTTGAGCAAACGTTTTTCAGCAAGAGTGAAGAAACTGAAACACTTAAAAGGTCTCGACAGTCGCATCTTAGAGTCAATTTATTTCAAAGGTATCATTCCAAGTATTACGTATTCAATTGCATTATGGGGATCTTCAAAATCTCTTCAGATTCTGGAGGACATTCACATAGGAGCAGCGAGATTTATTTTTAACATAAAGAATTCTACTCTTAGCACTGAGGTCCTGGCAGCGACAAAATGGAAGTCTTTATCATACATGTACAAAAAGAGGATTGCAACCATATCTTATCAAGCATTTTATAACAGGGCTCCGGCTGGTATAAATTGTCTATTTATTAAACATTCTCCATTAAGAAATCTCAGGGACAGTCTGAAACTATACGTGCGTTGCCCTAAAAGTGACTTCCTTCGATCTTCCTTCTCTCATCGTGCGTCTATTCTATGGAATAACTTACCCATGTACTTAAAGAGCAAAACTTTTAAATCTGCTCTTAAAGAAAAATCTGACATTTTAGATAAAATAACATTTAATGGGTTACAGGGAATAAATAAAGATATTGTAAATTATATTTATTAAGGCAACAGTCAATTAACTGTCGTTTATCTTGCTAGGTATTTTTATTTTTCTTTACTCATTGTAAATAATTCATTGGTTTGTTAATATTATTAGTTACTTTTTTGTAGATACTTTTTAGTTTGTAGGTCCACATCAGCTCTTTAGCTGCCTTTTTTTACTGACCTACATGACAAATAAAGTATGTATGTATGTATGAACTTGGCGACGAGATACAAAAACTTGTTAAGCAAATCTCAAATCTGAGCACTAAGTTATTAGCCGAACTAAAAGCTCTAAAAACCAGAGCCAAGTCGACCGAAGACTCAGTAAACCACATTGTACAACAACTGGATGAGATAAAAAACAATCATTGATTTCTCATATGCATGACGCAAGTCGCCAAGATTCTCAATCACAAACAGAATCTTAAATGAGCGCACGTTCGCCGAAGTTACAGCAAACAACGTTGACTTGCAGACTCTCCAAAGGACTGCAAGTGAAGGAATCATAGCAGAGGTAAGGGATCAGACTTTCACCGTGAATTCGCACAACAGATTTGCAGTACTTGACCCTCAGTTTCCAGAGAGACAAACACAGGTGTTTAATGAACAATCTACACAGCCTGTATCTACAGCTACAGCAGTGATGACGAGAGAACATTCAAACAGTTCGGATGTTCAGCAGGGAAGCCTTTATAACCATGAAGTGCGGAAGGAGACTAAAAAGCAACCAGAGGCGCAAAATGGCCCCATACTCATGATCGGCGACTCCATCTTAAGAGGAATCCAACAAAGAAAATTTTGTCCGCAACGATTTGTCAACAAGTAATATGTACCAGGAGGAACACGAGAAATGAAACAGCATATTGAAGCAATGGTGGATAGGAATGTGTACGATCATATAATTGTTCATTCCGGACCAAACGATGTTGATAAACTCAGAGTAAACGACATAGCTATGAACATGGAAACCTCTGTAATTATTGCACGAAAATCTTTGTTATCGTTGTAAACACATGTGTCTGTAGGCGCTCTGTTGATAATAAAGCACTTATCCTATCCTATCCTATCCTCAATAAAATTTTATACGGCTCCGCCCCGAGGTTCAACGAGAGAAAAGATGGGCGACTCCGGCCTCCACCGAGTGTCTGCTGGGAACTGGAACTGAGAGTCCAGGCTCCCTCGACTAGTATATACAAGATGGCGGGGATGGCGGGCAATTAGAACCAAATTAGAACGAGCAACATGTCCGTTGTTACACTACAGTTGGGCCAGTGTGGGAATCAGATAGGCAGTGAACTGTTCGATTTTTTGATAGAGGATGCAACAAAGCTGAATTCTCAGTTCATTTCGAAGAGCGTAGACCGCAAAGTGATCCAAGATTATGAAGAAGAAGTGGTAGAAAGGTTCTTTACTCGTGACAAGACGGGAACTTTATTGAATGCACGTGCAGTCATGATCGATATGGAATCCAAAGTAATATCTCAAACATTAACAGAGGCCAGAAAGACTGGTAAATGGACTTATCCCACAGGGCAGCAATTTTGCCAGAAACGCGGTTCAGGAAATAACTGGGCGCACGGCTTTTTGGAACATGGGCCAAAATCAGCAGATAAAGTGCTGGAAATTGTACAGAAAGAGGTCGAAAAATGCGACAGATTTGGCGGATTTCTGATCTTGCTTAGCTTAGCTGGTGGAACTGGTTCTGGTGTTGGAGCTTATGTTACTGGTTGCCTTCGTGATGAGTTTCGACATTCGTTTATACTGAACCAAGTCGTCTGGCCTTATGGAACCGGAGAAGTGATAGTGCAAAATTACAACGCTATTTTGACGCTGTCTCATTTGTATAAGTGCTCAGACGGTGTAATCATACTCGAGAACGACAAGCTACAAAGTATATGCTCGAGGTTAATGAACTTAAAACACATCTCTTTCAAGGATATAAACAAGGTGATTTCACATAAACTTGCAAGTGTATTGCAGCCAGTGAAGCTGTTTTCTCCGGGACAGGACGCTGCTTACTACAAACAAGCAATCTCAGTAACTAATCTTCTTGGAGATCTGATTGAGCAAGTTTGTCCTCATCCTGAATATAAACTGATGACATTGAAGAACATTCCTCAAATGGCTGAAAAGTCCCTAGCCTTCAGTACCTACACCTGGTCAGGACTATTGAAACATCTGCGTCAAATGCTTATAGCTGATGCCAGCATGGAGGAAGGTATACATGATCTCTGAGATAGGAAGTAGAAAGTTTACCCAGTGATCTATACCCAGATGGGGGTGCACTTAAAAAACTAACATCCTGAAATATTTTTTTGCTGAAAAAATTTGTTAGTACCACAGATGTAGACCACTCATTGCCAAGCTTAACATCCTTGTAAAGCAGAGCCGTAGCTAGGTTTTTTGGAATGGGGGGGGGGGGGGGGGGTGGGGGGGAGGGAGGGGGCAGGGGGGGACGGGGGGGGGGAGTGGGGGGGGGGGACAGATGGGCAGGTGCCGAGGGCAGGAGCCATGGGGGGGGGGCTGGGGGTATCTTCCCTAGAAAATTTTCCAATTTGGAGGCTCCGAAACGCTATTGTCAGCACTTGTCATGAGATATGTCTCTGAAAAATTGACCTTGAATATGAAAATGGCAAACAATTGCAAGTCACTATAATAAAAATAACTGAGTCTAAAGAAAAGAATTCCAACCACAGACTTGATGTGTCTGGCTCAACAGGTCCGGGGGGAGCAGGTACCCCACTCGCTCCCCCGCTAGCTATGGCTTTGTAAAGGCTTCTGGTTAAAAAATAAACCCTGTTCAAGACACTGAGTAGTGAAATTGCATACCCTCTTTAAGACTCAAGCCCCTATTAATCATATCCTGTTCAACGGCATATACCACTTTAGAGAGAGATAGAGGTTTTTTTATCGCTTTGGGGGCAACAAAATTGGGCGTTGAAGTCGCAAAGTGTGTTTTGTTACAGAAACAGAAATTTGTGCCATATCCATTTATTGTTGTTCGTGATTTCTTGTGTTTGTTTTTACTTTCCCTCATTTTGGCAGGCATTGACTGGGAAGTGAAGTTACCTGTGCCATCCAACCCTGATGGTGCTGATTTTCATCTCAGACCCGGTGAACCGCCACGATTGAGAGAAAAATTCAATAAATCCATTGCTAACCTCTTGGTATTACGAGGAGTGGATGTTCATAAGTCTGATCTGACTTCTTTTAATGATCCTAGACTTCATGCGAACTGGGTGCCATCAAGTTGTGCTAGCACAATATGGTGCCATCCAAGGCCATTTAACCATTATGATAAGTCAGTGACATTGCTTAGCAACAGCCAAACCCCTGTGGCTCCCTTAAACTCTGTGGTTCAGAAAGCTTGGAACATGTTCACTTCACGGGCTTATGTCCACCAGTATTTAAAGTATGGAATGACAGAGGATCGTTTTGTCGACAGTTTTGCAGCTACTGAGCAAATCATAAGAAACTACTCTTCACTGTAACATGTTTATGAGTTATTCATAAGATTTGGCATGGTAAATGTATGCTCTTTTCGCGGTTTAAGCCATGAAGTGGTTGTCTTGTTATGCCATGCAATACTTACCTGTAGTCAGCATTGCCCGGTGTGTCTCTGGCGTTATTAGGGAGCTTAAGCAACAATGACGGCAATGCAACGAGAACGGCAAAAATTGGCAAAATAACAATACTGCATGTGCATCATGCTTTTTTGTACATTTCCTTTCTCTCACTGCACGACTATGACATGAAAATGCCTAATTTCACGTTTTGTGGATGATTTGAACACAAGACGACTTTCTTTTTCTTTTCCTGAACTTCAATACAGTGTTTTAGAATTCAACTCCAGAAAAAATGCCAACATTTGAGGGAGGGACTGAAAAATTTAAAGTTTGAAGTAGCACAACTTCACTTTTTAAGTGATGTTTTGTTGTCGATGCTTAAGCTCCTATTATCGTCATGAACAACCTCTCTCTTTTCAAGTACCAATCAGGGCTTTGTCTGCAACAGGACCTAACATGCATGATGTTCAAAGCATTGATAGTGAAGTGGAAAGTCCATAGTATGTTATATGGTGCCTCAGGGAAACCTTGGAGACATATTTTGCTCAAAAAAGCCTTATACACTCACAATAAACAACCCCGTCAAAGAGGCAAACGTCTTTGCCTGGACGTCCATGATTTCTCTTCCCTGCCATTTTTTGGACTGCTCTGAGGACAATGGTAACATGACGATGGTGGTAATACTCAGTTATTAATGTGGTAGGGAAATTTTAATAATGAATGCCTGATTATAGTTTGTAATTTATTTCAACTTTTTGTCTTAACTCTCAGTCACTTATTTAATAGTTAAGTAATTATTATTAACAAGTTTAATGATTTCAAAGGACAATCTGAGATTGAGAAGTAAGTATTTCAAAATAACAGGGGATAGTTTTACTGGTTGTTAAAACTTGTATGAACTTTTTGGTAATTACGAGTAACAAGACAGACAGTGTTTTCTTGACTCAAATGCAGGTGAGTATATACTCCCAGACATCAATAAAATAGAAAATTATCTGCCTCATACAGACAGTTTATTGAAACTGATTGCAAACACATGAAATATCCCATAAACAATTTAATTCTTCATTTTTAATTAATATAAACAACAGTAAACTCTCTACAAATAGCCATCCCCAAGAAAAGGACAATATTATTTATTTTTCACTCCAAGAGAGACTAAACCTTTCGCTCCTCTTGATGATGTCTGATTATAGAGAGTTGGCTGTATGAAGAATTATGAGCAAAAATGTCAATATTCATGTTGAACCTTGGTAAAAAACTTGTGAAACATTTCTTTGTTTTCAGACTATTGTTGCCTTCTTCTCTGATGATCTGCACTGTTTCTTTGCTGAAAAATAATATTATTAGCTCCCTGTGAGTTTTAGCAAGGTTTTTCACCGAGGATGAGCGTAATGTTCTAATTTACAATAAATATAAAGCTAATCAGGAGAATTGTATGTACAATTATTATTGTACATACTTCCTACTCATTACATGTATAGTCAAGATTTTAATGATATTAAAAAAACATGAATAAAGACATAGGATTTAATATTGCAGTAGTGAAGTGTTGATGTAGCCTGAGAAAACAGCTTTCATTTTGCGATGCCAACATAGGTTTCGAAGCGAAATCAGGAATGAACGGAGAAATTCCATACTGATGACCTGTCACTACCCATATCTGGGTAGTGCTTCTGAATGTCTGAAGCAAACTTCCCTTGTGGTACAACTAACCTACTACCCAGATCTGGGTAGTGACACTTCATCAATATTGATTTTTTGTGCTCATTTCTTAGATGTCATTTTGTAGGGAACCCAGTGCAGGCAGGGTGCAAAGAAAGTCAGTTTTACAGATTGTCATTCGGGCAAGCGGAAGGTAGCATTTGAAACGTCATTTGAACTAGCCCCAAAAACCTTCTGGATGAGCAGAATTAATTTCACAGTTCTTCTGTAATTTGAATTCCTCAAAAAACTTCACTTGCCCGTTGGGCAAGTTGAGAACAAAATTTACTAGCCCAATAGCAAAATCCACAAGTTCCGCGCTATCGGACACGACTTTCTTTGCATGTTGGCATGCGTAGCAAATTTTGGCTGTTTACTAAGGCTAAAGGTGATGATGGTATTTAATTATACAGTCATTCAATCACCTTATAACCTTGTTTTTGATAATTAGGTGTTTCTTTTCTTTCAGTGATACTTGAGCGAATAAACCAAGCAAGTGGGAACAAATTAACACTCCAGCATGTGGCCATGTCCCCTCCCTGCCTGCATTTGAAAGGAACTGAATGATTTTTCTACAGAAAAACAGGAAACAGTCTGACCAAGACATGAGCACACCCTGTGGTTTTGCTTACAAGACGGGAAGAAATCTGTTAAATATCCTGCTCAAACTATCTTAATCTCTTAAATAATAAACTTTAAATTAAATTAACTTAACTAAATTCTCTTTACATGGTCTTGCTTTAAACTTTTTTGTCTATGTTGGATAGACGCTTGACAAAAGTCAACATTTCCTATGTACACAATTAACTTAATCCTTCAATAAGGTCTCCATATTTTCACTAAATATTTCTTTGCTTTGGCACTTTTTCGTGTGCTGACATGCTGACACTGTAGATTACCATAGACACAATCCTGCTGCTTAAAAAGCCATTTTAAAAGAAGAAAGAGAGGAAAATATAGTGCAAATACATGTAATTTAAGTGCACCTCCAAAATAATGTCCACCCAGACTGCTTCACAAATAATGCATATTTTTGTGTGAGCAGCTCTCCTAACCCTAAAAACCATTGGTTTGCTAACCTTACCGTAAAACACAGGATATAGTGATAAACAATGTTGTGTTATTATTTTCTGCAACCAATGAGGACACACCTTACGAGCAGCTGTTACAGCACTTATTTTTGTACACAGAAAATTTCCAAACTGTCAGCGGTTGCCATTTTTTTTCTTCCAGAAAATAACATGTGAGCAGAAGGCAGTTTGGGTGAACAGACCTTAATGAAATACCACTTTTAAGATATAGTACCTAAACAGTTTGAAATTTGATTCTTAAGTTATAATATATTGTTGTACAGTTAATTAAGTACCAAAAACTTGTAAGGTATACGTATGCGTACAACAAGGGCTTTTTGGAACCTTATTTGGAAAGGCATTGTTACTAACGAAAGCCTATTTTCAGCTAAACCAGGTATGGTGGGATTAAGCCTTCTGACTATTAACAGTTGCCTCCTGATATGACATGACTATGGGGCCACTTTAATCTCAGTTTGCTGATTGAGTCCAAGTGATTTGGCGGAAATCTTCAAAATCAACTCTCAATAAAAATTTATTGCTCTCAACAAGAAGAATTTTTCACTGAGGGAAGACCAGGGCTGTGCTCTAGCAGAGCCAGGTGGCTCTGGCGCCTAACTTTTGCCCTCGGGCGACAAGATTTTCATACAAATCATATACTGGGCACCCTAGATTTTACAGTTTCAGAGCACTGGGCTCCCTTCAATTTTCCTTAGAGCACAGCCTTGGAAGACAAGTTCATTCAATGGGTTTGGACTTACCTAATGCCCAGAAAGATTCTAGCAGCCTCACATTTTAGATATTGCTAGATTTCTAAAGGAGGGCTCTATTAATAGCTATGTGAACCATGAAGTTTTTACATTATTTACAGTGAAAATGATTTCATTCCTGTAATTTGAGAAATCGATTGATCATGAGATTTCTTCCAACAAGTATCATTTTACTGCCATAATTTTGAGGCAATTTGAACAAATTCTTGCAGCCCTGTGCAATGCAATAACTCTGTTCTTTTAGAACTTGTGGGGTCTGTTTCTTCTGTTTTTGTGTTTATGTGAGGACAAAAAACAGTGTCCAATAAAATTGTTCCTTGTTTAGACAAGCTTTCACTCACCTGCAAATACAGCTGCATCGCATCACTTGCTGTCACTGGTGATGTTTCACAACTGGATTGTCTGCATTCTGTCCTAAGAAATTTTGAGCTCTGTTGTGGATTGGTGCCAGGAAAACTCAAATTCTCCTTGTAAAGCATTATTATATTGTGAAAGGTTTGAACCCAGGAGTCATATCAAAAGTAGGTTGAGTTTGATGGTCCGGGTGAATGTAGTCCTGAGTAGGACTGCTGTTGTTGACAGTGACTGACGTTTCGACAACCTGTGCGGTAGTCATCTTCAGAGTCAAAATAGGTTGTATCACGTCAGTTGATGATATTATACTCTGGTTATTGATCTGATTGGTCAATTACGTTACGATGTATGTACTAGAATGCGTTATACATGTCGCAGAGTCCCAGTCAATTTGATGTTTCGTCTGTAAATGGTGCTCAGCAATGTGATTGTTGACGTCACCATTCCTCCTGGCTCGTTAGTGTCTGGTCAGTCGCTTTATATTCATGGGAAATGCAATATGCAGATCTATCTCTCTTGAAAAACATCCCTAGTGACAGGAAGTAATTAAGGCAGTTGTATCGCAGGCTATTAACGCCCAAGTTCTTGCTTGAGCTCTGGATTTGACTAACCGTGCTCTCAGGGAGGGACTGGATTTGATAACATCATTTCTTATATTACATGTACTTGAAGGCAAGCGAACTTACTTTTAGAAAATAAGTAATGACTACAGGTCTAGTTAATGCTAAAGCTTTGCTTTGGGCAGTTACTGCATTAGACCCGGTTCCTGAACATCTTGTAAGATATTATACACTTAAATGAACTCAAGTAAGTTGCAAAATGTTCTACATTGTGTCATAGGTTCTTTTGTAAGTAGTAATGCATCAAACAGCTCTCTGCAGATTTTAAATTATGTAGTTACATGATAAAACATTTTAAAGAGCTACTGGTGCATTATGTCATAATTATATTTATATAATAATACTCATTTTACCAAGCTAAACAGCTTTCATCAGCCATCAGTTTTAATGCCGCTTGCGCCTCCCTTACAGCAATTCTGTAAAATCCTTTCTTACGTTTCTTGTGTCTTTTAGCAAAGTTAGGCAGAAACAACTGAAGGCTGTGTAAAGGCATGATGGAGCTTGTGTTGGAGCCAAACCAGGAAACATGAGCATCTCTGTTCCATGGGTTCTTGCTGTCTTCATTTCTGATTCCACTAATGGCCAGTACCTTTCCTGGCCACCAAGGATGTCCATGAACTTTGCCCCACACAATATCGCCGACAGACACGGGGTTCCTGTTGTCAGTCGGAGTCACCTGAGGTTGAAGCTGCCAGGTCATTCGTTGTGTGTACTTGATGTTATTGGCAGATTTAGTTTTGTGTTTTTGAGGTTGTTGTTCTGTGTTTGGTTGGTGTTCTGTGTTTGTGGTTGTGACTGTTGAAAGGTTTGAGGAATTAAGACTCAAGGCATTAGAAATTGTGCTTGACTGGTTTCTCTCTGGCTCAAGCCCTTTGAGCCAATCTGATTTTTCAAGGTAGTCCTTAGCTGCTAAAGAAGAGGCAATGATCTTTGCCTTCCTCTCACTGATCCTAGCAGATCGTTTAATGGGGCCACGATTTTCAGTTTTTGATTCCTGTGTTCCTGAAAAGCCAACATCAGTATTCAACAGACTTGTCTTATTCTCTCTTTTGTGTTCATCAGATGAATTAGACTCAATCTGAATATCAGTTTGATTAGTGGCTGAATTTATCTCTCCAACTGAATTCTCTTCGTCCGAATGAAAGTCATCTTTATCAGTCATAACATTGGGAGCACAGCATTTTGCTGTTTTCACATGCAATTCAGAGTGCCTCCTGTTATCGATGTCCACACTGTCTTTCCCCTTCTTCTCAAGTTTCACTGTTAAAATAGGTGTCTCATCGCTTCGATTTTCCCATTCTTCAACTTCATCATTACAAACATTCTTAATGACATTCCTATCAGTCAAATTAGACACAACTGTCTCCAAGCTTTTTCTTACAGGCAATCTGTTCACCTCCCTTTCAGCAGGTGGAACAACTTTCTTAAGTACCAACACAGTGCTGGATTGTTGCTGTGCATTTGTGTGTGTCCCTACCGGTACTGTGGGAACTGCAGGTCTCGTCATCAGAATTTTGTACTGGGTTGAAGAGACGCTCTCTGCTGTTAAATTCTTTGATTCTATGGTACTTGTTTCATCACTAACCAATTTAGATTTCTTTGGGCTTTTACACTCGATTTTTATTTGCCTGTTGTCAGTGTTTTTCTGGACACCTTGCAGGCTCACTGTTGGTGGTTTCTTCTTTGATGGCCTGTCACAGATGTCTTGACCAGAAGACTTCCTTTTTCGTTTAGTCTCACATTTGGAGGTCTTGACAGTAACTTGGGTCGATGCACAGGTGACCTTTCTTGCCGAAATTTCCTTAGCCTTGTTTAACTGCCCTTGCTTAGTTTTATAATCACCCAAGGCAGTTGGTCTTTTGGTTGAAGTGCCTGATTTGCTCACCATATTTTTAGAGTTTCCCTGACTTTCCTTAATTAAATCAGCGTCTGTTAGGACTTTAACGTCGCTAAATAAGCTCGGGATCCTTCGACAAGGAAACGACTTATTGTTCTGTCGTCTGTAAAACAGACTGGCCTGCCTTGTTGACCACCGTGAAGCGCCATCACCAAGAGTAGTACTTCCTGAAGTAATTTTCCCCTTCACTGCTACAAGTCCTGCGTTCAGCTCATCAACGGGTGCTCTTTATATTTCAAAATATATCGTGCGTTAAAAAAGAACAGACATAAGGATAAGTCTCAATTAAATTTATCTTTAAACTCACTACCTGAAAGTGCAAAATCCCTTACGAAATAATTTTTAACAATTTATAACTCAACACAAATTGTGAATAAACAAGTTGACCCACCTCCAAACGATCGCGTTCTTTTCGTCAAAAAGCACTCCTCTAAATATTTTTGACTTATGCTTTACGTAGACAAGAAGACAGTTTTCTAATGATTGTTCCACAGTAGCGGTAAGGACGGTTCCCGCTTGTAAACAAGCCATTTTTCAGAAATATTACTTGATATTTTCTTGTCTCGGTTGTGTTCATTGCATTTCCATTTCTTCGCACTGTGCTACGTAGCGAGAAAATCGAACTTGATCTTTCCGGGTGCAAAACGTTAAAAAAAGTAATTTTCTTTTTTTCCTCCCAGGCTGTGATAAATAAAAGGAATGAATACTAGATGAAGTTTATGAATTTTCAGTGGTACTCATTTCACGAAAAGGATGCGAAAAAGCGAACGACTATCCAGGTGCAATTTGTTCATTGAATCATAAATTCCTATTACCACCGTGGTACTCTAAGTGGTCAGTACAGGGAAGCGCGATGTTCGCCGGCAGCTTCGAGGCCTGTGGCAAGATCATTCCAGTTTCGTACGTTCAGCAAGCTCAGAATGCTAGAAAGAGCCGCGAAAATCAAATAAGAACATTTCTGGAACACGTAAGTGATACAATATTGGATCATGACTCCAACTGAAATGATAGCAATACGAAGTTAGGCGCTGTACTGAGATGTCTGCTGAAAATGTTTGTTCTGAAAAGTTTTAAGTACGCTGTAAACGGTATATTGTCAGTGAAAAGTTTCTTTCTTTTGAGCAGTTTTATAATTTGTTTTAAGTACATTCAAGAATTGTCCAGCTGATGATATTAATTAGGAGGGGAGGGAGAAAGTGGAGGAAGCTATGAGCCACAAATTGTAGATGTTTAGGAGCATGAGGACGGAGCATTGAGCAACAATACATTAAGCTAAAAATAATTCAATAAATTGCTTATTTAAGCTTATGTTCAGCAAGAAGGTGCTTTTAACGTGGACTAAATCATATTTCAGTTGAATAGAGCAGTAGTGGCTGGTTATAAATTGGCCAAATGGATGTGTTTTTGTTGTTTCAAACACAAAACAATAATCATAATCTCATAATGAGATTGATCAGATCGATCTCCAATCGATACTGAGATCGCATGGGGAGCTGTTCACACAGACGACTTCTAAGTAGTCAAATAATTTTTTAAGTAAGGAGGATTAATCCTGAGGCTGCAGGTCTCCAAGGAAGTTGCTTAATTCTTTAAAAACTTAAACTCATGCATTTTTTTTCTTGGGCAGGGGAGGGCAGTCCTGACTTTTTACAGGAATCATTGTAGTTTTGCAATTTGGCTTTTAGTTGTTTTGCCTTTGTCCAGCACTACTTCCGGTCCTGTCCAGGGAATCCCTGTTTTGTTACAGCTTTAGCAAAGTTGATCACCCCAAGCAGTGATAAGAGCTCTTGTCTCAGACTCCGTACACAGTTCTCTTTTTTGAAGACATTGCAACTTGTAAAAACAAAAGTCCTCTTGTGAGTTACAAGTTGCATGATACGCTTTGATGACTCTCAATGAGGAGAGGCTACAGAGCTAGATCGCTTTCAGGAAAGTTCATGTTCTCACTTTAATAGCATGGAACAAAATTTATAGATCATTCTTGGACCGATCTCAGACTACCATCTGAAGCGATCCAGGTTTGATCAATCCCAGATGTAATCTCAGAAAAATTGCAAACATTCACATTCAGCATGTATAAAAGCCAGATCAATCTAAGATTGATCTAGTCGCTAAGCATGAACAGGGCCTAAGATTGATTGTTAATTAAAGCCAGCATTAACAGCTGTGAAGGCTAATGGTTTTCAAAAACAGTTGTTGTAACAACTCGCAACACTGTCTCTTTCAAGCTCTAGCTTTAAGTGTCTTTTCCTGCCTTGTACTTCATCCTGGAGAGTTTAGGATCATGTGGCTAGTGATTTAGTATCTTGGACATGCAGTTACTTTCTCATTGGGTGTCAGAGGTGCCATAATTTCTGGATTAAAAGTGACGGGGATGATGATGATGATGATGATGATCGGAAAATTCAACTAATATTGGAGTGTTTCGAGGGTGGTGAAACTTTGATGACAAGTTTCATGGTAAAGTTAATGAACTAAATGACTTGAAAGTGAGGGGACAGAGATGTCTCCCAGATACTACAAGTATGACCCCAGCTATTTTTATGGGAAACAAAAGAAAAATAGAGCCAAGTGAACATTTTACCTGTTCAATTCCCACCTGATAATTGCATTTACCTGTCAACTTGAAATCTTAGCAACAGCCTTGTTCTTGGATTTAAGTTTGGTTTAGGGAAGTTTTTGAAATCATCCTCCTGATTTTGAATCTAGAGTCCTGTACAAGGGATGATACACTAAAAACAGTGATTCATCACCCAAGATCAATGTTATGAGAGATGTAACAGTAAGCAGTCAGAACTTCTTTTGGTGAGTTTCTATCATCTACAATCGGCGACAAAATCGGTGAGACATTGTCCTCAAATTGGGTAACTTTGAGAACAAAACAGTTCACACCCCTCTCCCCTCCCCTCCATTCAAAGTTGAGGTGTTTGCTGTTTTCTATAGGTATCTCAAACAGCAGCACAACTTTACACAGAGGGGGAAGGGAAAGCTTTATTTTCCCTTCTTAAGTAAGCAAAACGTTTGGGAGGCCCTTTAGAGCAGAATTTCTCAACTAATTTTGCTGCCAATTGTAGTTTTTTCAATGCTTTATTATTCTGTCTCTTGCTTTCGTTAGAGAAAATGGCCACCAGAGGGTTGGGATGATATCAGCATTGAACTGCTTTTGCAAGAACTCTCTGTTATGGACAGTAACAACTTTCCAGGTGTGGCATGAGTATGTTTTTAACCTGAATTTTGACTTCTAACATATACATGTAGAGCATTTTATTTGGAATCAAATTGGATCTTCAAAACAATAATCATAAAACTAGTTTGAATGAAATGAAAGAAATGTGGATGTTCTAGTTCAAGAAGAAATTGAGGTTTTAAAATAGTTTCTACTTGTACCTCAATTTCTTTTGTCTTTATTATTAATTTTGAACTACAATATGGATTTACTTATGAAGGCAGACTTAATTGACTGTTTAATAATTAACAATTATCAATTATTGTTGATTTCAGGTAATGTTGGTGCAGGAGAAAGAGAAGGAAGGGTTATTTCATCACTGGTGTCAAGACGCCATTTTAGGTAATCTGCTACACAACAAGACTGAAAAAATAAAAGTTACTAGGTTAAAAAAATATACCATATCATGGCTGTTGACCATATATAAGGATGCATGGGAACCCTAGACTTTCGAAAAGTCCTTGCTCCTATTTTATATGGCCTGCAGGAAGAATTACAGCGGTTACCACCAACTAAAAGTAGATGTGGTTTAAATCTTTGGATAATTCTTTTTTCAAGATATTATTTTGTTAAACAAAAAATGCATTTTTTTATAAATGGCATGTAATAATGAAAGTACCTTTAAAAGGGCTTTTTTTGAGTTATACTCAACCACGAAAATTATACCTTCAAGGTTAGTTTGAGTCAGACTACAAAAAATTCTCAGTGGAGAACTCTCGAAATCATATCCAAAGACATCCAAAATTCTTTCCAAAAACATTCCACAGATTTCCAAAAAGTCAAACAAAATTGTAGGTTTGGTAGAAAGTAGGATCATTCACATGGACTCTTCTCTCCTTTGGAGAGTCATGCCTGACCTGTGATCAAGTTGTTCTTTTTTCCTTTTTCTTTCTTTGCCTGACATTTTGCACTTTGCTGACTTTTCACACTCCCCCCAGAAAGAAGGAAATTGGCTGATCACAGGTTAAGTCATGCCATCATCATCCACAGACTTGCTGCCAAAGGTAACAGGATGCAAATATTTTCTATTCATAATGGGACAAATTGCAATATTGCACAATGACATCGTTTTATTACAACTACCAGAATCCTTCAGTTTGTTTTTTTCTTGCGCAAATTAGGGCTATTATTTTTTAAACCTCAGCAGAAAGCAAAGACGATTCTGGTAGTTGAAGTCAAATATCGTCATTGTGAAAATGGGCTTTTGAGTCTGGAAGTGATCAAAGCATAACTGTATCTGGAGTGAGTAGTGATTATTTTGCTCTCTCCTGCTAGGCTAAGCCATGGTATTGGTAGATCTGGGGACATAGCAGCAGTGCAACCTAAAGCAGCTGGCTCATCTCTGTTGATGAAACTCACCAACTGTATGGCTTTAGATGCTATTAAAATGGCAGGTAAGTTCCTTTTGTTATCTTAACATGGTGAAGTTGGTTTGAACAGTGGAACCCCACTCTAAGGCCACATGCATAAGATGGACGAAGGACAAGCTGAAATTTTAGTTTTTTCGAGCCCTGTAAACTAAAGGAACTAAAAATTACTTTTTCGTATAAGAAAACAATGCAATCCATTCTTTTATAGGGGTAAAGTCAGCAAAAGCCTGTCTTGTTTTGCCAGTGGCAACAGGTATGAGTTTGGTAATGACACTGTTGACATTGAAACAGCAGAGGCCTGGTGCAAAGTGTGTGATATGGCCCAGAATTGATCAGAAGTCTTGTTTTAAATGTATCCTTACTGCTGGTAAGTGATTATATTAGTTAGCTAGCAGTGTCTTCTTATCTTGTTGATATGTTACCCAGCCAATGTGCAAAACTCCAGGCTATAGCTTCAAAGTGAAAAAAAGGCTTTTTCAAATGAACCTTTTTTAGCAAGCTTGTTACTCATGAATTCTTTTCAATCTCAGTATTAAATTTTTAGAATTTTCCTGTCATAATTTTGTAATTATTTTGTTTTTCTTCTGTTTGTGATCTTTTTATAAAGCACCTTTGGGTTTTGGATTTTGGTGCCATACAGTGGAAGCTCTCGTGAGTAGACACCCTTGGGAATGAAAAAGGTGTCCATATAACTGGAGCTAGCCACTTACGAGAATGGTTACGTTCTTGTATGTGATCACTAGAGGTGTATTAGGGTTAGATGGCTGCTTACGGGAGCTTGCCCAGCTACAAGTAAACATTGGAAATGCAAAAAACTGACAATTTGTAGTGTTTGGCTACACTGTTGTTGTGCCAGACAATGTTGTAATTTAGTCACTGGCCAGGGATAAAATTCAAGTGGTCTTTCGAGGTGTAACTGGGCAGATGTGTATTTGAAAAAACCAAAACTGAAACCAATATAAAGTCGTTGTAAAGAACAATGGTTTCAAGTTGATTTATTTAAGTACAAGATTCATAGGAGACTGGGATTTCATTTCAGGTGGGAACTTGTGGGATCTTATAAACAAAGCCAATATATAAGTTGTAAACCCTGAAAGTGTCCGTGGCATCCGCTTATAGGAAATAAATACACAGTTTGTATTGGAGTTGAAACCAGGTTTTGTCAAAGTGGCCATAAGTAGAGCTGTCCACTTACAAGAGTGTATGTTACAAGAGCTTCAACTATACAAATACAGTTGAACTAGACTCCATTAAGGGACCACCCTCAAGGTACCAGTAAGTGGCCACTTAATGGAGGTAGGCTGCCAAATAGAGGTTAGTCGGAAATCAGAATAGTCTTTTGCAAAAACATCGCTTTATTTTAAAACAAACACACAATGGAATGTGGCATTACTAGTACACATCATCTTCCATCTCAAACTATATTTTCCTTCATCATAAAGGTGTCAGCTTAATTCACATTTGTATTCTACAATTATTTGGGGACTTCGATTACTGGCCACTTAATAGAGGGTGGCTGTTTAAGAGGCCACTTAATAGTTTACTTATTATTATCACCGTGTTCTCTTACCAGGATTTGAACCTGTCATTATTGAAAATGTTTTGGAGGGTGATGAACTACGAACAGATCTTGCAGCTGTCGAGAAGAAGATCAAAGATTTGGGTTCTGAAAATATTGTCTGTATTATGACCACTACCAGCTGCTTTGCTCCAAGAACACCAGACAGGTGCTGGAAAAAAAAATGTTCTTTAAAAGCATTCATTCTTTATTATGATCTTGTTACTTTTTAAGTGCGTCACAAATGATTACCAGATTTTGCATTCAAGGTTGGAAGAAGTGGCCAAGCTTTGCAAGGAACAAGATGTACCACACATTGTAAACAATGCCTATGGGGTACAGTCGTCCAAGTGCATGCATCTGATTCAACAGGTACAGTCTGTCAGTTCACATTCTCTTGAGGCAGAGATGTACCTTAAAATATGGCAGAGTTTATAACCAGCTGTTTGAATGAAAATTAATTTTGTTTCGTTGAGAGGTGGTGCATGGCTTCAATCCTCTTGTCCAAATTTCTTTTTTGCAGTTTTGATACCTTCAGTTGTATTTGCTAACAGTACACTATGTTCTTGTTGGTGTGTGTAAAAACACACCTGGTATAAAAATGGCGTCCAATTTTACCATTCAAATTAAACTTCTTTGACCAAACATTTGTATAATAAATTCAGACTTTGCTACAAAATAATTGGAATTTTTTGTGATTTTTTGGGTTGAACATTGGCCGCTATTACAATGCAGGAGTGAAGGGGTTAAAGTAATGTTGTCATTCTCTCTACCACAGGCAGCAAGGATAGGCCGTGTGGATGCATTTGTTCAAAGCACTGATAAAAACTTCATGGTTCCTGTTGGGGGAGCTATTGTGGCAGGATTTGATGAAAAATTTATCGATGCTGTCAGTAAAACATACCCCGGTGAGTGAGGTACAGTAAAGATTGTATTACTTTTGGAGTGCCAGTTAAGATATTAAGTGGCTATTTCTCACACATCACGTGGGTGGCTATTTCTCACCCATCACTGGTAGCCATGCCAAGCCGACTGCCGCAACAAAAGCAACTGCCCGCCTTTTGGTCACATGATATATACCCAGGCCCCTAGCGGTGTGTAAGAAAAACATTTTCCATGTATTTTATTACACTCAGCCACTGGAAAATTACCTGTATGAGAGTTTAATCACATCCAAAGCTAAATTCCTTAAAAAGCACCCAAGTTCTTTCTACGTCAAACCTAGCTTTGTTTGATGTGAAATTTTATTTGAATGACAGGTCGAGCATCAGCCACTCCTTCAATTGATCTGTTTATCACTTTGCTGTCTCTTGGATCAGCTGGATATCAGCAGCTCTTGCAACAACGAAAGGTAAGGCTGCATGGCATGGAGGCCAGACCGATCAAGTATAGTCAAACCCCACATGACCGACACCCGGTCAATATGGACACCTCATTATTACGGACAGTTTGCTTTGACCCTATGGAAAGAAGGCCCTTACGTTTTCTTTAAATTCAACCCGCTTATTACAGACACCTCATTAATATGGACACCTTCTATGGTCCCCTCAGTGTCCAGGTTAATAGGGTTTGACTTGACTGATCTTTGTGGTTCTGTTATGTTTCACATAATTTGATGCACTATCTGACATCAGTCAGCGCTCAAGTTAGTTGGTCATCAGTGAGAAGTTAAATGAGGCTTAAATGTAATTTAGGTGAGGTTAAACACAAGACAGATATGCTGGCCAGCGGTCTCCATCACTTATCATATATGGGGCTGTCTTTGGGCATTTGCAAGGCTCTAGTAATTTTACAGCTCTTTTACTGAGGTCAATATTTCGCTCATGTTGTCTTTGTGTGCAGCCTCTAAAGGGAAAGGTAAAGCAACCATATTGTACGTCGATAACTCGTGATAGTAATGACTGATAAACTTGAGGTCACAGTGACAGTGCACTCATTTCACCCCCCTCTCTCCATCACTCTTCCGTTTTAAGGGTATTTAAAGCTAGTCAAAGCTACATCGAAAAGAGAGTCTAAGTCATGTATTTGTCAGTCAGTCAGTCAGTCAGTCAGTCAATTATCAGTGACTCAGTAATCACTTTATCAAAAGTGAGTTATTTATTTCTTTAGTCAGTTGTTAGTCATTCATCTGTCAGTAAGTCAATTCAGTTTTCACTGTTCATTTGCAGTCAGTCAGACAAACAGAGAAACAGACCATCACGTGATGTTCAGGTTAATTAACCGTCATTCAGTCGGTGAGAAATTGTTAGTTTTTTGTCCAAAATGTTTCACTTGAGATTTGAAAATACTTTTTTTACACTGTGCGGATGCAAATGAATTAGGCTCAGTCTCCACCCGTAGTGTAGGTGTCTCAATGCGCCCGCGATTCTCCCCACCTCGTGACACCCACGGCTCAATGGAGACTGAGCTTAGGGTGCAATCAGCAGGGAGCTTAAGTAACGACGACGCCGATGTCAACGAGGACGGCAAAAAAGCAATAGCTTTAGATAGGCAAAACAACAACTTTGCACGTGCAACACGCCTTTGTGTACATTTCTTTATCGTCACTGCACGAAGGACCTAAAGATGCCTAAATTCACGCTTTGTGGAGGAAATCGATACAGTCTTATAGAATTCACATCCAGCACAAATTGCCAACAGTTGAGCAACTGAAAAGTTCAAAGTTTGAAGCAGCACGATTTCACTTTTAAGTGACGTTTTCGTAACCGTCTCTGCCATTGTAGTCTGCTACAAAGCTGTTTTTAGTGTCGTCACGCAACGCTCCCTCCCCCCCCCCCCTTGCTCGGGGGGGACTGTCCGGGACGACTAGTTATAAAAAATACAAACAACAAAAAAATTCCACAAATGGAGGAAAATGAAAATGTAAAATTTTTAACCCCACACTTTTCCTTTTTAATGTGGGTTTTTTTAACCCCTCTCCCCTTTGTGTTTTTTCCAGAGGGTTTTTTTTTTGGCTCACCCCAACCCCCCCCCCCCCCCCCCCACTTAGTGGGGAGGAGCGTTGCGTGACGACACTGAAAACGGCTGTGTGGCAGACTACTGTCATTGTGGCTTAAGTTGAAACAGAGCGAATTCCCGTTTTAAGTGACGTTTTTGTAGCCGTCCCCGTCCCCGTCCCCGTCCCCGTCCCCGTCCCCGTCCCCGTCGCCTTCGTTTTTGCTTAAGCTGTGTAATATTATTTTACTACTCTTATCGTAATCTTTTCTTTCCATTTATTATCCTCTTCAGGAAGTATACAGTTACTTGTCGGATGGCCTTTCCAAGGTAGCATTAACGCATGGAGAGCGGCTACTGAGTACTAAAGGCAATCCCATATCACTGGGTAAGGCGGCTAATGTCTTATGTTGTCCTTCTACTTCTTGTTTCTTATTTTTCGGCACTGATTAGACTAACTTGCTCCCTTGTTCATATTCCAGCCATTTCACTTGAGAAAGTCACAAAGGGCCTGGAATTGAATGCGGCCGGTGTTACTCAGCTTGGGTCCATGCTGTTTACGAGATGTGTTTCAGGAGCAAGGTAAGTCCTGGGTCAGACGCCGTTCTTTACATTAACTGAATCGGTTTGTGCTGTATTAGCGTAGTGTAACGCGGTTGACTTCGAAGATGAGTTGAATTAAACTTATCAGAGATTAAGGTGCAAAAGTTATTGAAAACTTCTCTCCACTCATGATTCTGATTCTCATTACATCTATGCCTCTAAAGAGGATCCTGAATGTTGACTTATCTTATTTGCCGAAGTGTACAGAATATTTTTACAGATTTTGAAAACAGAACCTGTTTCAAATTTTAGGCTAAACAAGTTCTTGTATATAGGGGACCTAACTAGCGAATGTCAACCTAATAGGATCTTAAAAACCAGGTTCTTACTCGCAGGTTATACTGTACGTGTAGCGAGGGTGAAAGTTGTTTCAACCAATTAAAAGCTCTTAAGGAGCACGTCATCAGTATTATATAGAATTTCTGGGTTCGTCCCTCATACGTCGTTTCGCGTGGGAACCTAAAAGTGGCGTCGCGAAATGTCGGCTATGTTCTCAGGCTCACACCTTGGGCTCACGCTAAAGTAAGGATTCAGGAACCTGATGACAGTAATAAGCAAAGTCTAAGGATGGGCGACAACTAGCCTGCCTAGCAAGCATTTCCGTGTGGTTTCGGAGCAAAGAAAGACCGAGGAATGGACGGCGCGATTTTTGACTCTCGTTCCTCGTTCTTCGCTCCGAAACCGCACGGAAACGCTTGCTACGCAGGCTTGGTGACAACTTATCAAAGGTTGAGTTGGGAAAGGTCGTTGAAAAGAGGCTTTTAACTCAGCTCCAAATGAGCCGGCACGCTGTGAACATAGCGAAAACAGTGCAAACTAATCCTTATCGAATTTACATTGCAGAGTAGTTTCCCCTGATAGCACAAAGGAGATCAACGGTTACGTCTTCACTGGCTGGGGTGCGCATGCTCAACACTACCGCTGTGCTTACCTTACTGCAGCCGCGGCGATAGGGATGACGAAAGCGGATGTGGACACGTTTCTGAAGCGACTCGACAAATGTTTATCGAAATTCAGTGCTAAAGAAGTAACTGTTTTGGGGAGTATTGAAAGTGGTGACCAGGACGAACAGAAGCCGAGGGACGGAAATGAAAATGGCTTACAAAAGATAGCGGACAATGAAGCTGCAGATAATTCAACAGTGAACAGATAGTACTAAATATTGATTTTTGATTTTAATTTACAGTAAAATGGTTCGTGGCTATCCAACAGAATTGTTAATAGGATAGCCTTCCAACGAGTGCTCATTGCCTAGTTTCAAATCGAGAGAGGCTGGGTAAGAGTCCGTAGTCACAAAGAGCACATTGAAATTAGCAACATTCTCAAGTTTGGTGTTTATCGGGATATACTGAACGAAATACAGCCATTCAAAACCTCCAAAATTTACTAAGAAATGTATAGCCGTCCAGGCGATGTGTCCGGTAATCCATGCATCTCTTATCAATTTTTATGTTTATTAATAGCTGTATCTTATTCAATATTGGCCCGATCGACACCGAACTGCCGATTTTTCATAACCTCAATGTGCTCTGTCTGACTATGTGGGTCTCGTGTTGTTTATCCCATAACAAACCGACTCGTACCCAGCCCCTCTCCATTTGAAACTAGGCAATGTCATAACAATAGACCATTTACGAGTTGCCTCAAGACTCAAGCCTGTTTCAAAGAGAAGCAAAGCGCAAAACCATTGATCTGAGTATGATTTTTTATCATCACGTAAATAAAACTCATTTTCACAAGAAAGGTTTTGCACTTAGCCTCGTTTTTAAAGTGAGAGTTTTTGGAACTCGGAAATAGCCTATTCAACATACCGCAGGAAAAAAAAATTATGAAGAATAATAAGTGACGCAAAGATAGGTTTCGGGCGTTGTGGATTCCTTGGGACTTCTTTTTCTTTTCCCGTCGTTTGGGCGGGAAAAAAAGCGAGAGAAAGGTTGAAAAACCTTGTAATTGACGGATCGTTTTTACGGCTAAGGTTTCTAGTTAGCCGGTTTGAGGAGAAAAACGAAGAAAACTGCATGCTTGAAGGAAAAAATTGCTGTAATTTGTGATACAATTGCCATCGTAGCGTACCTTGTGCGTCTGTATAAAATCCAAGTTATGCCGTGAATTTTTGAATTTGACAAAGAAAAGCTAGTTAGCAACTTATTCCTTGGTGCTATTTCATTGTTTTATTTTGGGACTTGTATATCAAAATCCTGGAGTCTATGTCCAAAAGAAATGATTGGTAGTCCTTTTCCGTTTTGTTGCAGATCATCCCCGTTCCAGGGCTCGGAAAAAAACTTGAATTCCAACTTGTCCTCTGGACAAGCAGCTCTCACATTTTCTTGCCCTGGACAACTTTTCGCTCGTCTTAGTTAATGATTTTGTTAGATGATAAATTGCCTGGACCCTTATCCATTGGGCAAGTAAGCGTTAAAAGTTACTTGCCAGTAAGAAAATCCACTTGTTTGGTACTGCTGGACAGGACTTTTTTCCAGCCATGCCGTTCAGTCGCTCCTGTAAGGTTGTTCAAATTTACACTGTGCAGTGTTAAGAAAAAATAGAGCGATTTTCGTATGACCTTGAAAAATGGTTTCGGTAAGTGTTCGCTATTTTTTTGTCAGCCAATGGATGCATGGACTCTTCGTTTTCCCGCCAAATAAAACCCTAATATGGAGATTGCTCTGACGTCATACTGTAACTCTATTCTAGAGTATCCAATCATCAAATTGTAGGCAAAAAGAATAAAAGTGAATTTGCTTTTTAGGGTTTCATATCTGAATTCAAATTTCGCACTAACCCCGGGTTATCTTTACCCTGTTTTGAACAACCCGGCCCCGTTCGTTCGCGTAACCAACCTAAAGCCACGCGCGTTCGCGCGTTTGTGTACGTTCGATAAACCAATCAAATCGCTCTATTTCCGTTCGTTTGTTGTTTCTGTTTTGTTCGCGCGTTTTCATTTCAAGGTCATACGAAAATCGCTCTAATAATCGGGAAGATCACGTTTTTGGTAATATTTCCTCGCAACAAAAAGTAACTTTTGTGTCATCTGGCAATGAACTCCCCTTGTATTTTCCCGATTAATTTTTCCTTTATTAATTAAAGTTCCTAAATGTGCTAATTATTTTACATGAAAACAAATCTCTCGGCCCTTTTGCTTTTCGGAAAATACTGCACTCTAGAGTAAACTGTTATCGTGATTATTTTTTGACCGTAGATTTGACGGTAACCATTTGGGAATTAGATCGCTGTTTGCTTTTATTTCTTGCTCCGACTCCACAGTGAAGTACCTGTGAGATTTTACATCGAAAGGAAGCATTGAGGTTGTTCTTTTTAGGCCGAGACGAGAACGGTTTCTTGAATCAAATGCGTTTTCTGTAGATCGACTAACTGGCCGACTCTGAATGTTTGGGAGTTTTCTATTCCTGCTTGGGTTTAGATGCAATTCAAAGCCTTCCTTGACTGTATTCAGGTTTGATAAACAAGCGCTGTTAAACCGAGGTCTTGCAGGCTGAGAAGTTGACCTGTTGTTTCCAAAATGCCCTCTTCTCTCGAGGAAATCAAGCTTTTCAAAGCTCTCAACTCGATAACAGGCACTTACAGTTTTAGCTCTTGGCCGCGGAGTTGTGCTATTTTTCACTTCATCAGTCCAAGCTTCGGAGTGAAAACAATGTTGTGCTTGCCTCTTTAGAGCATCCAACCTTTTCTGCATGGTTTCCTCCTCCTTGTTTTTCCCTGACAACCAAACCTGTCTTTGTTTTTCTATATGCTCAACTTGTTTTACATAACTCTGTCCCAAGTTAAGATTCGCCGCGTACAAGTTTCCAATCGTCCAATTCGATCGCATTATAAAAGCCTCGTAGTGAGCATCAATACAAGGGGAACGAAATTTCTTAAAGACACTTTCAGTCCTCTTTTCGCTCGCTTTCCTCCCGTCTTTCTTGGCAGACATCTTCCTGCTTGTACTAACTTTCGTGCTTAGTCTGTTTTTAGTCGATGTTAAGTTTGTTTTTCCAAGTTCGCTTTGTGATATTTTTGAAGCCGTATTTGTTTTAAACAGATTTTCACGGGAGACTAATTATACAGATGGTTTAGTTGAGCTCGATATACACGGTGCAAAACTTGCCTTTCTGTTGCCGGCTACCAAAATGAAATCATCGGTAGAAAACCTTTCTTGCAGGTCAAATCCTAAACTTCGGTCACTGTTTATGATTTGGTAAGAACATTTGACCACTGTTTTTTTAACTCACTTTTTTTTCTGACACTGTGTACGTGTTGTTTGTTTTAAAATAAAAATTTCGTTATGAACCTTATTGAAAATTGTTTCTAAGAGGCGAACTTATCGAATCCATTTATTAGCAGAAATTCTATTTGAGCGGTCTAGTCTTTTATCCGTGGCTTTTGAGAATATATACAATATATTAAGTTTCCGTTCGCATGACAACAAATTGACAGGATATATGAAACGTGAACGCCAATTACCTCATGCGAATTTTAAAATAAGAAACCTTTCTTTTCATGAACAAAACGTCGCTTGTTAGCTATGCAAGGGGTCTTTTTTCATACTGATGTTAATCTCGATCCGGAATTTCACATTCCGGTGATAACGAATATCTGACATTTAGCGTGTTCTAAAATCTCGGCGGCAAATTTTAGGTTAATTTGCTATATGCATTGTAAAGTAAAACCACTACTTTAAGTCTAAAAGAGCTTAAATATATTCGAAATCTTAGCCCCTTTCATTAGAAGCAAATTGAAAACTTTTAGGCCCTATCCACACGTACCGTATATTTTTGAACACGGAGATTTTTTTTCTCCGTTTTCCAAGAAATACGAGTCCACACTTAGCGTATATATTTTATTTTTTTGAAAAGTCTTTGCCAGACCACATGAAAACGCTCAAACGAGGTCGCTCAAACTATGGAATTTGTCAGGCCCATAAAGTGGTCGCGGTCGCTTACAGGAGGTGGTCGTTTACTAGAGGTTCCAATTGTAAGGCTTTGACTGGGAAAACTTTGGTGTTTTGGATTGGCGGTCGTTTGTGAGAGGTGGTCGACATGGAGGTTCGACTGTATTCCACAACCCCCGTTTTCGTCCCGGTCCACCCTTAGACGAGAGGCCGACAAAGGTTGAGGCCGACGCCCAGGGGGGTACTGCCAATATACCCGATATATCCATACACGGCGACACTTCCCATACCAAAAGTTCGTCAAATGAGATCCTATCCCATATATTTAGTCTCTCAAACCCAGATCTTATCCCATAGTAAAAAGTCCTTTGACTACAGTTGCTAACCGTTGGTTAAGAGGTATCAAAAAGTATAGGTTTCCATGGTATTTAACGCCGGTTAGCACTAACCATGCTTCGAGCAACCCGGGCCAGTTGCTTGAAGATTTTATCTAGACTAGGGAAACAGCTACTCTAGGATAGGGGGATTTGGGGAGTTTACTCTAGTATAGGGTAGCAAAATTCAGCTGAACTTGCTCTGGTAAAGGTTAAGGGTTCCAGGGCCCCAGCGGCACATCCCCACCCAGAAATTCCTAAAGTACCCCCCCCCCGGGGGCCGACGTTTTCAAAAATCTCCACTCTGGATGGCCTGCGGACACAGACGTATTTCCGCTCGTCGCTCCTCTTTAAGCGACGACCGGGAATACGTCTGCGTCCCTAGGTAACACTCTGGGGAGCGTTATTGAAAAGATGGGTTTTTGGTACCCAAAAACGCCCGAATTCTAAAATGGAGAATAGACTCTCCGTTTTCAATACCCGGTTACGTGTGGACTTTCCCTTTGTATAATACGGCTACACTCCGTTTTTTGGTGGAGTACGCTGATGATTGGTTGATGAAGAGCTTAACCACTTCCTCGAAACGGTACTCCGCAAGGTAAAAAACTAATCCTTACGGCACGAAGACTGGCATCTTGACTGAGAACAGTGAGACAGACGGTAAAAGCAAAGAGTATGAGCCTGATATTTTGAGCGTTAAGAGACTAGACCTTGTATTGTATGTTTTGCCGACCAACTATAGGGTAGCCGGATTTATCAAAAGAGGATCAGAATGACCTCATTCTCTCTTGGATTTATATGTTCACCCTCTCCTGAGTGAAATGCACAGCATCGACCGCTCTACCGGTGGGGTACTCGAAAAATCTTTGGGTATAGGTGAGCCGCTGAGGCTTTGAACCCCTGACCCTGTTTAGGACGAAAAAATCCTAAAGCCATACGGTACCTTGTCGTTTTTCGCTTGGCTGACATTTATTTTTACGGAAATGAGCCTTTTCAAGACCACGAATGATGCCAACAAGATCAGACCCGAGAGATTTCAGTCAGGGGCGTAACCAGCTTTTCGTGAGTTGCAGGCCTGGCTCATTGACCGTTCCTTTCCTTATATATCCTGAAAATTGCAGGCATGGCTAGTACGCACTGACCTCACCAACGCTTTGAGCTCTTAAGCCTTTTAGCTCATATCACCCTAACAACGCATAATTTGTTACAAGCGGTAGAGTGATCAAACCAAAAACTTGTTGGCCCGGGCCTACAGGTTTATGGGCTGTTGGCTACTCCCCTGTCAGTCATTTAGCAAAAAAATTGTTCCTACTATTTTTCGAGTCGATCACTTAAATTATTAAGGCTCCTAGATTCTGCTCCAACAGCGACCATTCGCCATTGCGCATTTCCGATACACCGTTGCTTACCAGCAATTGTGCTTACCCCCATCATGCACATTGACTTAAGTTTCTCTTGGGACAAGTTTAACCCAGGAGAAATTAAAAGATGAGAATCAGTTTGGGAAGACATTTTAAAACAAAAATTTACTATTGAAAGTTTATGTCATTATTTTCAAGGTGCAAAAGGTAAGAAATTAACCAACCAGTGTGGACCTGGGCTCATCCCCGCAGTACGCCCTCACCCCCGCCCCGCCTCCGCCCATAATGACAACAGACACTTCATGTGTGTGTAAATGATATACCTATCGTTTTCTTCTGGGAATATGGCTGCGTTATGCAAGGTTTGTGCGAAATATTTTCTTCTGTTAGTTACGTATACTTTAGTTTCTTGACAGTTTGAGGCTTAGAATCACTTTCATATCAGGGGAGAATCTGAGGAAATTCTTTGGAGACTAAATAAGACGATAGAAAAAAACAGTAAGCTTTAATTTATTTGGCGGTCGATTTTTTGGTCTAACATCGTCATCATTCGTTGCATCATAATTTAAGCAAGACGTTTTACTGCCCTGTAGTTAAGAAAATTTTTAACCATAGCCGTAATCCTGTTAATTTAAACTTTATTACTCCAGTCACAGTTTTTATCAAGGTCTTCTCGCCGCTTATCATAAAGTTGTAGGTAATCACTTCAGGAAATCCAATAGTAACACAGTGTGCCCTTTTCCTGCTTTTTTTTTTAATTTTAATTTTTTTGTTGTCATTATAGACTTTCAATAATCGTCGCAGTATTTTGTGAGTTAAAGATTTTATAAATAAAAACGCTAGCAATCCTGGATATTTTAAAATCATAAATTGTGACTTGTTATTAAAAGGTAATCTAAATTGGTCACTGTTAACGTAGACTTTTTAGTCTATTTTCATTAGTCAGTGGAAAGCATCGCATCCCCATACCCCGGAACAATATTCCCATCAGAAACAAGGTTTATGTTGTAGTTAGTTTTCTGTTTCAGGTAATTTTTGTTTTTCTTTTGTTTTTGGGTATGATAATGTATGCTAATGAAGTTGAAACAAAAGAAAAACAAAAATTACTTGAGATAAAAAAATAACTACAACATTTATATGCTTCTGTTCTTGTACCGTGCCTATTCAAGATGGTGAAAAATGGTGAAAGGCTAATCCCTGTCTATCAAGCCCTGCCAATGGTCCCCAGTCACTGGTACTTGGGTCTAATACTGTTGAAAACCCTGCTTACCATGGGAAAAGTAGCAGTCTAAAACCGCTTAAATCTCCCACTTATGCCATACATTCCCTGGGTATGGGCACAGGGGGCTTTCCACTGACTAGTGCATTAGTCTCCGTTGTTTTCTTCTTTTGAGTGCATGCTGGAAAAAAATGATCTCCTTCAAGTACATCCCATGGGGAAACTACATTATCATGAAATCTGAATTGTTACTTTAACAACGTTCTTGTTTTTTTTGTGACCAGATATTGTCCTCTGTTGTGAGACCTGCACGAGCGGTAGGAGGTGGAATCTTGCAAAGCAGTAATGGAGGATACAGGCCTTTTGGTTCTATCCGCCATTTAAGCCAGCAAGTAGTACAGCCAAAGGAAAATGCAGCCATCAACATTGTCCCAGGACCACTTACAGCACTCTCTGAAGAAGAAGAAATGATGAAAGAAGCAGGTAATGCAAGATGTTATCACTAAGTATCAAGATAAACTTATCCTTTAATGTACCTTATCAAATTACAATATAGTGTGCTGGGAATTCTAAACATATATATTTGTTTGACCCATTTGCCTCTAGAAAACGTCTCAAAACGTCTTTTGAAGCCAGTGAAACTGCCTTCTGGTTACTGTGTGGCTATAAACAGCCAAAACTACCCAGAATGCTGTTTATAGTTTGAGCACTTTGTAAATGTCTGTTCCAGATGCAAGATATAATTTTAGCTTCCAAATTGCGGACATGTGCAGAAAGCAAAATAACTGTTCTAGGTGTTTCGTAATGTTTTCACAAACATTGAATTATTTCAAATAACTGTGAATTCTTTGTCGTTACTTTTTTACCCCTCAGACTTTGCTGCTTTGGTTTGTGCATGATACTTTCATTCCTTTCACACTCCATTGCCTTATTTCCAGTTATTTGGTTCAATCTCGAGATAACTCGAACTTCCAATAACTCGAACTTTTTTCTATTTCCCTGGAAGGTTTGAGTTATCGGAAGTTGACTATAATATGTAATAAGTTTGGCATATGTAGAATGATTTTATAGAATGTAGATGTTTTTACGATTTTGCAGTGAGCCAAAAGGATGTCTACATATTAGGCTACAATTACGTGAAATGTTATGTCTTCCGGCCACTTCTTGTGCTTTTTAGCTCAGTTCAGTGGTTTAATGGAAAACTGCTTAACTCCTTTATTGTGTAAGGCTGCAACAATTATTCCAATAATTATTATACCCAGGATTAGTAAATACGCTAAGGATTTTTTGATGATATTTTAGTTGCGAGGTTTGCCAATGAAAAAATTCAGCCCTTGGTATCAGAAATGGATCAAAATTCAGAAATGGATGAGTCTATCATCAAAGGAATGTTTGACCAAGGAGTAAGTTTAATTATTGAAAGTTGTTATCTCTTGGCAAAGTGATGATGATAATAATAATAATCATCATCATCATCATCATCATCATCATCATCATCATCATCATCATCATCTATAAATCCAGGATAACCCTTCAGCATCAAGTACTATGTGGTCCTGCATGGAAATGTAGGCCTGAAGAAAGTAAGTGAATAAAATGCAGGTGCCAGATTAAATCAGATTTATTTCTTGGCCTCTTTGTTTCTCAGTGATGATACTTTTAAAAACACCCTGTTTTGAGCCTAATAGCCCAGCAGCCAGCAAAAATAACTGGCTGCTTGGGTCATTTGTATTGGCTGCATCAGGTACTTCTTTGAAGAATTTTTTTAGATTATATGAAAGAGAATTGATGGTGGTGTTGATAATCTGGCTGCCACAGAGATACTACCACAGTACAATATTACTGACAATAAGACAGCTAGTGTTTTCATGATGATGTATTCATCATCAACAGTGAAAGCTCTTGTAAGCGGACACTGCTGGGACTCAAAAAAGGTTTCTGTTACTGGAGCTGGCCAGTGCATTTGGTGTTGGTCTTATGTTTTCAATGTTTGCCCACACACTGGTGCTGATCTTTATACTGAAAAAAATAGAGTTGGCAGGTTGATAGTGCAGATTTGATTTTTGAATTTTTTTTCTGTTTTCAGTTGATGGGAATTGAAATAGATGCTGATTATGGTGGTACCAACTCATCATTTTTTGTGGCATGTCTTGTTGTTGAAGAACTTGCTAAAGTTGATCCATCTGTCAGTGTTATGTGTGATGTACAAAATACTTTAATTGTCACCTTGTTCAGAAAATATGGCACAACTGAACAGAAAGCAGAGTACTTGCCACAGCTAGCGAGGAATATGGTGAGTGATGATACCCTGTGTTTATAGTTGTTTATTCAACTTAAGTTTTATCAATAATGAATAAAATACTGCCAAACCCTGTCAAAATGGACACTGAAGAGGCCATAGAAAGTGTCCATATTAACTGGGTTTCCATATTAAGCAGGTCATGTTAGTAGAGTCAAAAATACTCCTGTTATTTGAACAAAATAGTAAATAAATTAAAGAGGACATAAGCATTGTCAAATTAAACACCTCTAATTTCCATGGAAACACCTAAAAAATGCTCATCTATTTTTTGATGCCACCATAGTCTAAATTGACAGTTACAAATCACCTACACTGGGTACTGTAGCACTGAGAATGACAACATGCTGTCAACTGAGGGTTTTTTTCCAAAATGAAAGGTCTATTATGGCTCACAGTTGATAATGAATGGTCCGCATCAACGAGGTCCATCATCTGCATTAACAGGTGTCCGTATTAATTGAGTTGAATGTAGAAAAATGTAATGGCTTTCCCCAGGGGCAAAGAAAACTGTCATTGTTAACGAGGTGTCTGTATTAAGGGGGTGCCTATGAAGCAGGGTTCGACTGTACATGTACGGCCAAACCTCCTTTAGGGGTGACGAATGGTCTTTGCGAGCATTTGCGAGCATGCCGAGCACTGCGATTTTTTTGTGAGCTCGAGCAGAAATAAAAAATTTGCTTTGAGAGCTTGCGAGAAATGCAAAAATTTGGGGAGCACGAGCAAGCGAGCACTCATTTAAATTTTGCAAGCAAATCGAGCAAAGGTAAGATTTTGCGAGCAGTTAAAAATTTTAATGGACCATTCATCACCCCTTCCTTTGGTGACTACCTATCCAAAACATCAAAATTTTCCCAGTCAAAATCGTAAGATAACCAGCCCTCTCTTGTAAGTAGCCACTTGTGGCACAGTGTGATACACTCTTTTTTCACCGTACTATGTATGTACTGCTGTGCCACTCAGAGTAAGTGAAGAACTTTCAGTGACAATAATTATGGAACTATGCATATCTTATCCTAGAAATACATCCAATAAATTGTCTTCCAAAAAGTAGATGAGTCGGGACCTCTTTTCGAAATAGACCACCTGTGGGTCAACTGTTGTAAGTGACCACCTCGCGTCAGCGACCACTAAATCTTTGCATTCTGGGTGGTCAGGAGGTTGAAGTGCAGGTTCCAATACCCTGAGTGTTAGAGATTTTTCAAGTGCAGTTTTTGGTTTCAGTCAAGTCTTTACAGTAACCCATGTTAGCATATGTCTTTGGCCTCTAGTCAACTCAGATGCATCCCACCATGTGCGAGAAAAATTACCTCTTGTACCCTGGGTAAGATCCCCAATAAGAGATTCAAAAGCTGATATTTTGAGCACTAGTCTTTCATCAGAGCAAAGGGATATGGTTTGAAAAGTTTTGTTTGGAATTTTGTGGCCCATATCAAATTTATTTTACTTTCAAGTATCAGCTGATAAATCTGAACTGCTATTTTTCTCTGTCCCAACAATGAAGACTTGATAATAAGATCAGTATATTTTATCTCTAGGTTGGAAGTTTTTGCCTCTCAGAAGTAGGCTCAGGAAGTGATGCTTTTGCCTTGGAATCAAAAGCTGAAAAGAAGGGAGACTATTACATTCTCAATGGTTCCAAAATGTGGATTACAAATGCTGAACATGCTGGAGTTTACCTTGTTTTTGCTAATGTTGCACCAGAAAAGGTATAACTTGCTGTTCCCACAACAGTGTGATAAATAATTTATTACTATTGACCTGAAGATACAATGGGACTGCAATGCGACTGCAATGTTTTATTTTATTTTAGACATACATGTACCAGGTTTTACTTTATGATATAAATTTTAACTGAATTATTTTGTTAGGGGTACAAAGGAATAACAACATTTATTGTTCCAAGAGAAACTGAGGGACTTTCACTTGGCAAGAAAGAAGACAAGGTTTGCAATTTTGATAATATAATATGTTCAAAAGAACCGTAAGCAATCGTTTATATACAGTATATGAATTAACCAAAGGGTCTTGTTAAGGCAGCTCTTTAACTATCAATATATGAAAGCTGCAAGCACCAGAAATAGAAATGAAACTGCTTGTCCAAAGACAACCTTAAAGTAATGGAAATGAATGTATTTCAAAGTAATTTGATGTTTCTCTTGTATTCTGAAATATGTGAGGAAGCCATTTACCATGTTAGCTTGTTTTTATTAAAATAAAACAACCGGCTTGAACTTGTATAAGTTACATATGTCGTTTGATGGATTTAATCTCATTATAATAACTAATGTAAAAACTTGACAGACATTATAGTCTTGATGGTTTGGTACTAAAAATTTTGTTTTGTTGTAGCTTGGGATAAGAGCATCATCAACTTGTCCGGTCCACTTTGATAATGTGAAGGTGAGAGGCTTTTCTGCTTAAAATGCATTCTCTGTCAATCTGCTTATCTTCTCTTCACTAGGGGTTATCTCAAACACATCTCGGCTGTGAAGTCAGCCCTTTGCACCACTAAATTTAAATAAAATGGCTTGCTGTTTCCCCCGGCCACAAGAGCAAGCCATGATGTGCATATGACTTCACATTCCTCGTTTTCCAACAAGTTCCAGATCTTTTTGTGGTTTTTGGCCACTTTTTAAATTGAGTAATGACAGCAAAACAAATCTGAACTTTATGTTTAAAATAATGTCTTCCCATTGGAATTTTGACTTGAAATTTGGCGAGGTAAGTATTTATTACTTCTACTTCCTATAACTGAAAAGAAAAGGGCAACCAAAATTTTGATCATAGTAGCATTTTAACTGGCATGTACTTCTTGTATGTTTGTACGTCACCATAGGTACCAGAGAGCTGGGTTCTTGGTCAGGTTGGACATGGATACAAGTATGCTATTGAGTGCCTCAATGAAGGGCGCATTGGAATAGGAGCTCAGGTGAGTGATCGACAGCTGGTATGACAGTGCATTAGCTGGTGGCAAGGAAAGCTCCTATTTTGGTAGATTTTGCTATCTGAACATTCCTTGCCTCAGAATAAAATATTAACCTTTATTAGTTCTTTAAGCAATGAATTCACGATTTGTAGGAAAACTCAAAGACAGATGTTTCTGTTGGTTTCTGGCAGACATATTTGTGCCCCTCAAAGGGACACCAACATGGCATCTCCATACAAAGCTTTATAAATTTGGGTAACACATTTTCCGGAATATCTTGTGTACGAAATATCGCACAGACCTGATTCTTGGCAATGATTTTGTCTATATATATATATATTCTTTCATTTTCCAGATTCTGAACTTTCTATATTGAATGATTTGCATTTTTTTTTTTTGATGGCGTGACAGTGAACACAGAGAATAGTCAGTAATATTACACAATGTATGCTTAGTAACCTGGAAAAGTTCCAAACTGTTTCAACAGCATTAGACCGATATCAAAAATCAAAATAATGTCTTAAAAAAGTTTTTTTCCTTTAAGGAAAGTTATTTGTGTTTCCAGCTTTGTTGTTTTTTTTTCTTTTTTTTTTTCATGGTTCGTCCTTAATAAAATAGTCTTAACTAATGACAAATGAGGTAAAGGTTGACTAGCATGCAATGAAAGTAGAAATTATTTCCAACATTTTTACTTTTGTGCTCTCAGATGCTTGGTCTTGCTCAAGGTTGTTTAAACAACACAGTACCCTACACACATGAAAGAAAACAGTTTGGACAGAAGATCTGGGATTTCCAGGTAAGAATTCAGGGATCATTATACTTTTCTGGGAAACTGCCCACCTACCCCTCCCCTAAGCCAACGTCAACACTTACTTCTCACTTAGGGCAAAACGTTGGCTTATAAAAGGAGGGGTAGGTGGGCATGCAGTTTCCCAGAAACGTATAACAGCAATGATTCATACAGACACTCCCAAGAGGATACATCTCGAATATCTCTTGAATCTTAAGCTTCAAAGACAGCACAGCATCAACTTGCTTATTCCACAGTTAAAATATCAAAAAGATTCATCATGGGTGATTTCATCCTATATCCTCATGAAATCCCTGATCAATCATACCCCCTTTTTTGTCAGATACGCTTGAGCGAGTAAAGTTCACAATTGCGTGGATTATTTCTTCTTGGAGGAAGACACGACTTGCTTGGTGGGTGGGGGTGGGTGAAGGTCCCCCAGGCGGTACGCTGTGAGGGGTATTTGGCGGCTTGCTATCGAGACATCAGCGTTACCAAGCCTTTTCATTTTTCGAAGCCGAATCCGAAATCAGATCGAACGTCGAATGGAAAACCGGGAAAGCCGAAAATCGATGTGGCAGCCGGACACGGCCGCATTAACAACAAAGAAAAATTGTCCATCACCCTGTGAGAACGTAACGGCTCCTCAGAAAGCGGATTTTCTCGGTCGAAATCGGTTAAATGATATTGACTTGTCTTGTTTTTTCTCTTTTTTGGCAGGCTGTAAATCACCAAATTGCTCATGTGTTCACGCAGATTGAAGCTGCTAAGTTGCTGGTGTACAATGCAGCGCGGAGAAAAGAGGCAGGTCTTTCATTCCTACGGGAAGCTGCTATGGCTAAATACTTCGCCGGAGAGGTAAACTACGAGCTTTTCATTGCTTTCTTTAACGTGAAAAAAAAAAATGTTAATTTAACAAAACGATGGTAAGGTGGAGAGAGAACTTATGCGTTACACTGCCCATTTCGTACCTGCGTTTGAAACTGAGTCAGGAATTTTGTCGAATAACACGGTGGCACTGTTTTGGGAGACGAATTTGACCAAGTTTTTTGGGGAACCTCGTTGTAGCCAAGGATGAAAGGGTGGCTGGCGCAGTGGTGGGAGCACTCGCCTCCCACCAATGTGGCCCGGGTTCAAATATCGGCGTCAACCCTATGATTGAGTTTGTCCACCGTTTTCGTCCGTCTACACGTAAACGATAAGCCGGCGTTTTCAAAAATCTTTTGCGTGGATTAAGTGTGAACGAAGGGCTAAAACGGGAAAAAAAATCTCTAATTTCAAAAATATCCGGATACGTGTGGAAGGGGCCTTATGGTAACCGGTCATTTCGCCCCAGTTACTTAGCACCCTATTTAGGTAATGTAATATGTAATATTCCTCGTTCTAGAATAGGGGGCTAAGTACCCGGGGTGAAGTGACTTGGGGGCGAGATGACTGGTAACCGGCCTTAGTAGCACTTAGCAAAACATGCCTCTGGAGGTCACCGTGTATAGTTTAAGTTTACTTTTGTTTCGCCGTCTTTGATTGCCTAAGAAAAAAGTTATCTGGATATTTCCTATCCTTATTTTTTCGGGGGGGGGGGGGAGGGTAATTTCCAAGTGGTAAAATACCAATTACCACTCAACGCGCGTAAATTACTTTCATGTAAAATTTTATTTCCGCATTTCAAGTCCTCTTTTTTTTCAAATTTTTTATAAGGAAAAAACTATCTACCTATATGTTGATTGTTTTATTGGAAATTGAAAAGATTTGGGACAGAGGGGGCGGAGTGTGTGAAGGAGAGTTTGTTGAATGTGGACACTCTTTCAGATTTAGATTACGGGTTTGAAGGATGTTTTTTGATTTATAATGTTTCTGTTATTATGTCTTATATGGGATAAAAAGGAAGTTTTTTGTTGTTTAGGTGGTGTGGGGTGAGGTGGGGGGGGGGGGAAGGAGGGTGGTGGTAATTTGCAATTGCTTAAATTGCAATTACCACTGCGACGATCATAATTATGTTCCTTGAAAATTGTATTTCCGCAGTTCACATCATCTTCGTTTTACATATTTTCATTAAGAATGAAGCTACTAGCTGATTGTGTATTTTGTTTTTGGCAAATACGAAGAGTGATTATAGCGTTCGTTTTTTCCTTTTTTTCTACTGGGCACTGAATAGGTGGCAGCCTTGACAACCTCCAAGTGCATCGAAATAATGGGCGGAGTTGGTTTCTCCAAACAATATCCAGTGGAGAAGTTTTACCGCGACTGTAAAATAGGTTAGTGCCGCCAAACTCTGCCGCGGGTCACTCTACTGCATGAGTTGTCAAGTATTTAAGGTACATGACAAGTTCAGGTACTGTTCAGTGGGGTGTGCAAGTGATTCTCAGTAGCTTCTGGGCAGCAAGGGTGGCGCAGTGTTGAGAGCACTCGCCTCCCACCAATGTGGCCCGGGTTCGAATCCCGGCGTCGACGCCACATGTGGGTTGATTTTGTTGTTGGTCCTCTCCCTTTCCCCGAGAGGTTTTTCTCCGAGTACTCCGGTTTTCCCCTTTCCTAAAAAACCAACACTTCCAAATTCCATATTCTGTTGTAAACGAAGTAGGACTGGGCGATAACTCGAGAACACGTGATGTAAATAAGCGCTAATAGAGAAATCATACCTGGAAATCATGGGATGAAATGTGATCGTGCATTCATTCTCAAGTTCGGATCGGTTTTTGTATCGTCTGCATATCTCAGAAAGGACCTCAAGGACCTCCCCCAATTTTTTTCTGCCCTTTTTTTCTGCCCCCTCCGGGGGGGGAGTCCCACCCCTAGATCCGCCACTGCTAAGAACTCTTCGTGGGAGGCTTCAGTCTAGATGAATATCAGCATTATCGTCCTTGTATGAAGTTCCATTCCACGGGTTTTCAACTTATGACTGTAATCAGTTAGCAAAAGTCCGTCAACACGGCTAAAAAGAACGCCTTACACTCAGTGAAGATGTTAAGTTTGAACGTAACTTGTTGAAAACTAACGAAGAAATAGCTCCGCAAAGCCTCCGTATTTTACAAATGTTTCTTACTGAGGCGCTAGTTCAGGCCCCCACCATTGAACAGTTACGACGTATAGATATTTCGAGCAACATCAATTTGCTGTCTGTCCCTTTTGAATTGTATCTGTCTCTCTCTCTTAGGAGCCATTTACGAAGGCACGTCCAATATTCAGCTATCGACAATTGCCAAAAACATGAAAGAGTTTGAACCTTGAAGGAAACTATGTGGACAAAAAGTCTGGAATTCCACAAGTCTGGAATGTGGAATTCCAAAATCTGCTTACTGAGGAAGAAAAACACTCTGTTATGGATCAATATGGAATCTGAAACGTCGTTGAGAACTTGAAAGACTAGTATTTCATCCTGCAAACTGACCCAAGAATGGATGGCTTAGGTCTCTATTCCCTTTCAGCGAACAAAATAATTTGACACGTTATAAATGAAATTTTTATTTAACAAATTTAGGGACTGTGCTGGAAGATTCATACGTGTATTTTGCTTTAGGCTGAGACCAGACTTCTTGGCGGGAAAAAACAGGGAATTATGCGGTATCAAGCGCCAGAAATCGGCCAGCCTCTTCCCTTCTTTCTTCGCGCTTGCCCTTCCTTTACCCTGCTGCGTAGCCTGGTCCCAGGCTAATGTTTCTTCTGCTGCCACAAGCTTAACAAGTAGTAGTTCTCAGTGCTCTCTGTCTGTCTGGAAACGAGAAGCAATGAAACCCTGGGAACGAAAGGAAAAGAACAGTTTCCTCGATTAAGTAGATCGAGGGTTTGTGTACATGGAAACAATGAATGTAATTGCTTGGTATTACTATATTTTACGCACGAATTGAGTTGACCTCAAAATTGTAAATTTATTTAAAGCGATTTTTATTCTTTCAAGGGTGTACAATTTATTAAAAGGAGTTGTCAACGCAAGGCGATGTCACACGGAAGGATTCGTAAGGACGATTATTGAAGGTTTAACGCAACACAGCATTGTTAATATTTCTCAACATTTTCCCAACGATTGTTGGAAATCGTCTCGTGTAACATTACTTTCATGATAACAAACTGTAAGTTCAATATCAAGACTGAATGTATGGAAAGTTTGTCTTTCTTGGTAAAACCTGCATTTTATGTACAACTAAATATTTGTCCTGAGGAGCTAACAAAAGTGTACTCTGAAATATAAAGGTCAAAAACGTGACTTTGTTGACGGTGGTAACATACATTACTGCATTGCTGCTGAAGGGCGAAGCTATGATCATACACGGCACCCAACTGAAACAAGTCTTTCACACCCACATGGTGTGAAGCGATTGGCCGAGCGGGTCTGGGGCCCGTTTCTCGAAAGTCCCGATAATTAACGGGCCCGGTAAGCTGTCTCGGTTTCCATTAAAGATCGAGGTTTCAATAGTTTTGCATCTAGCATGATAAAACTATCAGTTAACGAAACAAAATGCAGTAGTTTGCTAGCCAGGACCCGCGCTCTTACTCTTTTTATTTCGATTTGAATATTTGATTTCGGGCCCGAAAAGTTAACGGGACTTTCGAGAAACGGGCTCCTGGGTCTCTAAATCCCAATATTTACTTCCGTCTCAGTATAGTTTCCAGTCCCCTGTTCTACTTATCAATTTCCCCAACGGTCCAAGTACCTTTTCGCGCCACGCCAAAGAGTGGCAAGGAACCTATCCGATATGTGACGCTCCACTTTAGCTGACTTTAGAGATCGGCGCGGTGCTCTTGAATGAATCAAGAGGATGACATTTATTCACTGACACAGGCCACAGGCGACTCGTTAAAAAAAAAAATTAGTTGAATGAAAAGCGCTAGTTCATTTCGTGAGGATTGAGTGTGTCGATTTCCTTTCGACCACTACCATAGAAATTTCGCGATAAGGGGACGCGCTGAGTTGCAAAAAGGAAGCCCACCTGCTCCTTTCGAAAGCGCTGGAAATATGGCGAAAGAGGCGGAGTTGCCGTTTGCTATGCAGCTGGCGTGCAAGTAATGAAAGAACTTAACCAAAAAGCTTGACAGATGCTTTAATTTGTTAATGGAAGCCGTCCAACTGGGGAGATTTTGGTGTCCTGGTGCGCAAACACCAAAACATACGAAGCTGTTCGCTATTTTGGCAATGAACAGCTAACAACGCTGTCTACTGCCAACAGAGCCTGCGAAGAGCGCCAATGTCTTTAGAAGATTTTCTAGACGTTGCCGAAAAACACAGAAATCGCCACGCATTCCACGCGTACTGGAAGGGGAATTTTAGCGTTTTAATGTTTCGCTTTTTGGGCAACATTTAAGCACTTTTTTTTTACAATTTTCCTCATTTTTAATGCAATATCTTGTCTTCGAAACGTTTTCAGTAAGCCGAGTAATTCTGTTATCATGAATCTGAATCATTCCACCTTGTCTCCTGACTGCAGTCATGAAAATGCACAATTATCCTTTTAACCATGGGAACAGTGGATTTTGAAAAAAAAAAACCGTTCGTGTTCGACCTCTAGTTTGGTCACCTATCAGAAAAAATCGAAAGTTAAAGCTTTGATAAAACTAAGAATATTTATCAACATCTGCTAGGAAATAATTAAAAACTACAACTAACTTTCGAGCACTATTTCGAATTTTCAAGCACTTTTTCAAAATTCGAGCACTATTTGAGCACTCTTTTTTGCCATGTTTTGAGCACTTTTTGGCGAATTTTCCAGCGCAAACATGCCTAGTGATAGAGACCATCTATTGCGGAAAAGGGCGGACGGTGGCTTTCCTTGAATTGTACCTTCACGGCTAAATATGAAGGCGTTTTGCCCAGAACAAACTAAGTGAGACCAAAATCCGAAATTTACACCCCTAAGCTTTACACCCCTAGGCGAGACGACGAGCATCCCTACCCCTTTCATAATCGGAGTCCGCCCCCCCCCCCCCCCCCGGGCGCCCCCTCTTAAAAAAAAAATTTTCCCAACCCCCCCCCCCCCCCCCCCCCCGGGGGGGCAAAAAAATTCCCCACTGACCACCTATTGGGAAAAGGGGGGGACGGGGGTTTTCTTTAATTGTTACTTCCCGGGGTAAATTTGAGGCCTTTTTGCCCAAACAAAACTATGTGAAACCAAAACCCAAATTTTCCCCCCCAAAGTTTTACCCCCCAAGGGAAGCCGCCAGGCTTCCCTCCCCCTTTCAAATCGGGAGCCCGCCCCCCCCCCCCCGGGGGTTCCACTGTATAAGAAAAAACTTTCCGAATCGCGCGCGCTTCCCAAGCACGCGGAGAGATCAAACATTTCCCATAGTTCTAAGTGGCATCGTTTATGACGTAGCCATTCAGTTGCGTGCGCACTCAGGCACAGGCTTCTCGTCAGTTTTCCTCCGTGGTATTCCATCTTTTGATAAAGCCAAGAATGGTAAGTTAAAAGAAAGTTAATCAAATTTTTGGCACATTCTTCCCGCTAATGAACCCTTTTTCTCTTTCAAGGACGAAATAAATGACAGGAGGACCAGTCTGTAAGTGAAAAAAACTTCGAAGAAATTGGAGATCTTTAATGTTTGTTGTTCAGGAAGTTGCACGCTGTCGTTAACATTTTTTCCGATTCTCCTTAACTTCAGCTACGTGGGGAACTTAGATCGCCGTTGTACCGAACAGTTTATCAAGGATGTTTTTTCCAAATGCGGAAAGGTTGTACGATGCAAGATTATTAACCCGGTAGGTAGTGCATTTCTTTTTTTGTAGAGACAGAGTTGAATTGATCAGCCGGCCGGCATTTTCTCGACGCCACGGCAATCCTTGTAAGCTATCTACTAAATAGATGTTTGTCAGTTATTATTTTTTGTATGTAATGGTGCCCCATAATCATTTTCAATATGTTGGCTCCTTGCTAATCGTTGGCAGACGCTGATCTGTTAAAAAGTATGGTGGTAAATGAGTTCTTCCTTAGCCTCGCTTCCTTTAAAAAAATTGTAAGCTAAATTTTCTACTACGAACTTCAATTCATCATGATATAAGCATGCGCGTACACATTAAGCTAGATACCAAATAAATTCGAGTTAATCTAGTTTTCTGTGCTTGTAACTGAATACGATAAGGAAGCCCAGAATGTTTGAAATACTGATTATTTTATGGAAGAGTAATAACTGTTTGTATTTGACAAGTTCTTTACCTGATAACTTTGTCGCCAAACTTCCGGTAGTGAAGTTCTCTTTCAGCGAAAAAAAAAAATGCCACATGAATATGCGGTCTAATTCTTTCAGTTCTAGAAAATGTAAGTCTTGGAATCA